TTCGTGCTGGCTCTCTTCTGTGGCACATCTTAGTTCCCAGTCTTGGTAGGAGCCACTGGAAAGACACTAGCTTCCTAATGCATGGTGGAAGCCAAGCTGCCGAGGAAGGGTTATGCCGCAGGCTGTGCCCCGGAGCAGCCGTGATGCAGGCAGCCTCTCCCCTCTCTCCACGCTGCTCCCGTCCCTGCCCTGTGCCGCCGCCTCGGGGACAGGGGGCAACTGCGGCCTTAGCGGTCACTGCCTGGAGTGGCTGGAGTGTGGGGTCAGGCCCCAACCCAGAACATGAAAGACAGGATATTCACCTCCAGGAGAGCCCAGCCCAAATCACCGTCCGCAGGCTTTGAACCCAGGGCCTTGTGTGGGCAGGCAGGTATTTTTCCACTTGAGCCATACCTTTAGTCCTTCTTACTTGTGATTTTCAAATAGGTTCTCACGTTTTTGTCTGGGCCGCCCCAACCCACCATCCTCCGATGCATGCCTCCCTGCAGCTGAGGGGACAGTTCTCACGGCTGCGTCTGGCTTACTGGTTGTGTGTGTGTGTGTGTGTGTGTGTGTGTGTGTGTGTGTGTGTGTGTGTGTTGGGGGTTCGGGTGAGGAGGAAACTTGGAAACCTTCCACCCAGGGTCACCTCAGAGATCTCTGCCTCCCTGAGATTACAGGGGTAAACCACCATGCCTGGTCCTTTTTACTTATAGATTCCGGACCAGTCAGAGGTGAAATCTCCCTAACTTATCACTTCCTACATTGCTGTGTCTCTTTGATCCTCATACCCATATGAAGACAGGTCTCAGCAGCCCAACCCTCTAGAAATCACTGAGTCTGTTGAGGCTTTAGTGACATCTTACCTGCCCTGTCAGTGCCTGTCCCTCCACAAAAGGGTGAGCTGGGTGTGGGCACGAGCTCTGCATGTCAGAGGCAGCGCTCTGAGCTTACTCAGGTGCGTATTTCAATGAACAAAATATGAACTGGGATAGGTATGGTAGAGCATGCCTATAATCCATCAGATGCTCTGGTGGTAGTTATAGGAGGCTTAAGACTGGCCTGGGCAAAAGCAAGAGACCAGTCTGAAAAATGGATTAAAGCAAAAGGTGTGGCTTTCGTGGTAGAGCGTTTGCTTAGCAAGCACAAGGCCCTGAGTTCAATCCCTGCTATGAGGAGAGAGAAATAGAGAGGGAGGGAGGGAGACAGAGAAAGAGAGAGGGGGAGAGGGAGAGGGAGAGAGAGATCAGATGGCTCTGTAGGTGGGAACACACCTCTGAGCCCCTCTTTCTGCTTCTCCCAGGTGCATTATCGCAGGCATGGCTTCCGGAAGCATTGTTCTGTTCTACAACGACTTCAACCGATGGCATCACGAATACCAAACCCGCTACTGAGGGTGCCGCTGTGCCCAGGCTCTGCCCGCGGCGGCCCCGGCCTAGCAGCGACCCTGCAGAAATAGCTGTCACCACTGAATGTAACCGAAATTTGCTTGAAGAAGCAAAATATTTTTTGAAGTTAATTGCTATTTTTGTAGACTTTGCTTGACTTTGGGGTGGGGGTAGGGACAAATAGCAAAGCAGAATACTGGCTGCCGGGTTCGTAGTTTAAAAAAAAATCTATATTTTTAGTCATAATGAGAAGTCTATTTTCACCAATTATGGAAACATATGTGGGGAATTAAGCCCACTTGTTCTAGCTACATTACAGAACCCCATTCCCGCGCACGGTAGTCTGGAGGAACCCATGGCTTTGGAGTGGGGGCGGGGAGCGCACTGGTGGAGGAGCTGTATGCTCTCCTTCCTGTCCTGGATTTTCCCAAACAATTGTGCTTCTTCAGTGCTGAAATTTCTGAGATTTTAATAGTAATGTTTAAATTATGGCAAATGTAATTGAAAAACATCTCAACGAATAATTTCTATATTGTTATTCTTCAAGCATGTTTTTAGACATAGAAAATTATGGTTTGGGGGAGGCGATTTGACTTTACTGTGTGGTAGGCGTGAAGGGTCTCTGTAATGGTGAGTGTGAAGTGGTTCCTGTCCTGTCCTGCTCAAAAAGATCCTGCGATCTGTCTTCCTGGTGGCACAATGAGATGATGCAGTGAACCCCCTTAGGCTCGACCGTGTTTTCCTTTGAAAGTAAATGTGAGTCCCAAAGCCCGCCCAAGGTTGCCCCAGCCTCGGGGGGAAGGGGGTCAGCTGCGGGGCCACGCCCATCATCTTCCACTCACCTGTCTCCACCTTCCTTTTGATTAGCAATTTGTACTAAGAAACAATGTTATTTTGGAGTTGTATAATTCTACTTTTCTAGTAGATTGCTGTATGAAAACATGAGAACTCTGTAAAAATATCTGAGACAAAGTCTGTACTACATAAATAAACTCTTTGTATGTTGTGAACTTGAAGTGGCAGCTGACATTCTGTTTCCTGTGCAGCTCGCCTTCCCCCGCTACACATTCAGGTGTTTTCTAACTAAAGATTTAGAAAGAATAATTTAGTTTGACAGTAAAAGTGAATAAAATGGAATTTGTAATTGGACTGTTGGAAATATCTTTTTTACTAATAATTTTTACACAAGGGGGCTGGGAAGGTGCTCAGTGGTAGAGCGCTTGCCTTGCATGCATGAGGCCCTGGGTTCGATTCCTCAGCACCACATAAGCAAAAAGAAAAAAGCCAGAAGTGGCGCTGTGGCTCAAGTGGTAGAACGCTGGTCTTGAGCTAAAGAGCTGAGGGACAGTGCCCAGGCCCAGAGTTCTGGCCCCATGACCGGACTCAAAAAAAAAAAACAACCAAAAAAAACCAAAAAAAATAATTTTTACATAAGGATAAAAGTTATTCTGAAATATCAAATGCCAAGCTGTGGTTTAATCAGAGTATTTGATCAGTATACAGAGCGAGAAACAGAGTGGTGGGCAAGAGAGGCAGACAGAGACAGACCCCTGAAAGCAGCACAGTTTCCTCGGCCAGCGGCTCCCTGTCACATGACTCCCACCAGTGACCTGCAGTGGGCGCTATGTCACGTCGCCGGACCCGTCATTGCGTCTTAAACCGTGCAGAAGACAAAGAGGAGATGTAACTGTGGGGGAGGGGAGAGCACCTTAAAATCACCGGTTCCTGAGCTGCTCTGGAGTGCGCGGGAGGCCTGCTGGGCCATCACAGCCGCAGAGCCCCAGGAGAAGCCCCAGAAGCCTAGGCGCAGCGGCTGTGCAACCTCTTGGAGCACAGGTCACGGCATGCCGCTATTGCTTCTAGATCTTACCACGATGAAAAATGAACAAAAGGACCCCACAAAAGTATCAGTGGCTCTCACAAAGATCTGCTGAGCGAAGCGCATTTCTTCAGGGTGAATTCAGCAGTTGCCTATTTCATCGAATTAGGCTCCTTAAAAATGTAAACCAATTAATGTAAACCAAGGAAAAAGTCCAAGGGTGGGGGTGGGGGTTGGGGGCTGAGTGAACCCCAATGGAGGCGGGGGGATGGCTGGTGTTGGTAACCGTGCAGGAACTTCGCGGCTCCTCATATGCATTGTCTCAAGATATTCCGAGGATTCCTGCTTGATATATTCATCCTCACGGAAGCACCGCCGATCCTGTCTGCATTCGTGACTATGGGAAATACCACAGGAGGTGATAGAGTGAAATGTCATTTTGACGTACGCAAATACGAATGTAGACAGGACGCTCCTGGATGGGCCTCATTCCCAGACTACGCCAAGTGTCTTTTTATAAATCAGCCCAAACAACCTACTTTGCCTATTGAAGGAGCCTCGCACTTCAGTCCACCCTGTGGGCATGCCCGTGGCTGCTCACTCAGGCCCGGATTGCTTGGGGGGAATGGGAGGCTGGACCTCAATGCCTGTCAGAGGAGCAGGGAAGCAGCTGTGGCCATGTACAAAAGGTCAACAAGGCCTGGCCAAGGATCTTGGGGTACAGCTGGACTGCACCCACACTTCACCGTTCACAGGTAACAAGTTACTCGGCAGGCAGCTGTTAAGACTGGCATGGGGCTGAGCTTCCCAGGCCTGTTTCTGATGTGATCGCTCAATGCGTGTGGTTTCTGGAGCCTTCCAGGTCCTTCCAGCCCTGCCTGCCCTCCATCCATCCCTGCCACCCAGGCCGGCCAGGAGGCGGGAGTGTGCTTCCTTCCGGCACAAAGAAGCCACCCCTGGGCCGGGTGACAGCTCCTGGTGGGAGTCAGGTCATGGCCTCCTCATGGGCCGTCACGCTGGCTAGAGCTCGTTCCGGATGAGCACGGCCACCTTTCCCACCCTCAAAAGCCAGACGACGAGCAAAGGTGCTAGCGCCTCAGCTGGCTAGTTCTGCCACACCGGTCTCTGCTGTGACCAGCCCCGATGCAGCATGGAGCCCAATTCTGTACCTCACAAGCCTCCAGCAGGGGAGGCAAGAGGCCGGAGAGTTTCAAAACATCCTACTTCCAAGAAGGGAAAGACCCTAAAACAGTGAATAAAGATCCAACCGCCCGCCTGGCCGGCTACACACCCAACAGAGCTCAGGCCCCTCCGCTGCAGGCAGCGATGTGATCAGTCAGATCATGTGCTTTCAAGTCCTAGAGTTGAAAACCCTTGAGAGAAGCTGGGGACAGAGGAAGATCAGGGTGAGGGGAGCCACAGGCTGGGGGGGGGGGGAGCTGCAGCTTATGAGGCCTGAGGGGGGGACACAATCTCTGAGAGGAGACAGACAAGACAGACAGACACACAGATGCAGAATCTCTGCGAGGGACAGAGAGGCAGACACAGACCAGCTGTCCTGAGCCCGGTTCCCTAAGGCCCAATCTTCCTGCTGTCAGTTCCTGAGCTCCCTCTGCTGGGAAACTGGGTTATGCTTGGTGTTTTTGTTGCCTGCCATCACAACTCATACAGCTGTGTGCGCTTTCCCCTGGCTTGGCCCCCAGGCCCCCCCCCCCAACCCTACCCCCACCCCACCCCCACCCCTAGCTGGTCACTCAGCCTCTGCAAAGCAACCACACTGAAACCTCTGCCCAGGCCCAATGGCTTTTCCGAAGAGGGAAAGTTTTATTGCAGGAGGGGCGGGGGACACTTGTAGAAGGCAAAAAATCTAACAACGAAAAGCAACTACAGGAGGGCTCACCGGCTTCGAAGATGAGCAGGTGCCGCCAAGACGAGGCTTATGTACAATTATTAAAAAGGATTGGGCGATGCAGAAAAGGAAAAACTGCCAGCAGCCTTCCAGAAGGTCACAGGGTGTCTGAGCAGCACCTCCCGCCCGCCCGTCCCCGCAGGACCTCGGCGGGTCCCTGGCCTGCTCCTCGAGGAAAAGCAGGGCTGGACGGGGCCCAGTGGCATGGGGCTGCCTCACGCGGCTCGGGAAGCAGTGGCCTCTGTGGCCCGTGTACAAATAAATACCCCGCCAAAGTCGGTGAGCCCAGCACCCGAGCCGACGACCGAGCCGCTGCAAGCACCTCTCAAAAGTCTGCAACCCATGGCCAGGAGCCACTGACCCCCTGGGGTGCTCGTGTCCTGCAGGACCCCAGGCCCCGCTGGTGGTCCCCTGCAGGGGAAGGTGGCATGCCACCTGGCACAGGGACATTCACGAAGGGACAGAGGCAGACACGCGTCCACTGTGAGGCCGGGGAGCCTGGATCATCGGACGTGGCCGTGACAGTCAGGAAAAGAGCTGTGTTGTCTGGGTAACGCAGAGACACGCCCTCCGGCTGGACACGGGTGCTGTGACACGCGTCACGCTGATGTGGCCTCAGGGAGCCCAGCAAGCGGTGCCAGCTGAGGGAGAAGCTGCCGCCGTGGCCTTCCCCGCGTGGCGCCTTCTGCATGGGTCAGTCTCGGTGGCGGCGCCAAGTCCCTGCCCGAGATGGGCAGCCGGGGGCTGCAGGAGGACCAGGAGGTGTGGGGGGCCCCCAAAGGGCTGCGGGGGGCTCCTCGGCCGAGGCGGGGGCTGGTGAGATCTGTTCCGCGGGTGTGGCGGTGGCCGGTCGGCTGCCGTCGGGGCCAAGCTTGCTGCAGAAGATCTGGCCCTCCTTATCTAGAGCCGTGTTCTAGAAGAGATCAGCGGAGGCTGCATGTGAGCCCGGCCCGGCCAGCGCTGATGGCCACAGAAAGCACCACAGAGCATGCACAAGGCCCAGGAACAGAAGAGGAGAAATAACCCCAAGCTCCCACTGGAGACCTCGCAGACAGGTGATGGTTTGGGGAGCCCCCCCCTCCATGTGCTTGTGACCAGAATTCCCAGCACCTTGCTCACACCCAGGCTCAGAACACACCTGGGGCAAACAGCAAACCTGCCTGGCTGAAGAGTCTGTCACCGAGGGAGACGTTATTAGTGTATTATAGAAATAATAATAGTGGTAATAAAATAACCCCTAACAACCCAAGAGGCTGGATCGTCTGTAAAACGGGCTCTGAGGAGCCAGCATCCTGCTCTCTTTCTGCTTTAGTTGGGTTTCTCCTTGCATGCATGCTGGCTTGCAAGCTGCCTGCCGGCCTGCATGGTAGAGGTGGGCAGCCCCAGCACAGGGAGCTACAAAGAACCGTGATGACGAGAACAGTGAGATCCGTCTCCAGCTTCTTCCTGCACATCTTCCTCTTTTTTGGTGCTAGTCCTGAGACAAGAGCTCAGAGCCTGGGCTGCCCCTGAGCTTCTGTGCTCAAGGCAAGCACTCTACCACTTTGAGCCACAGTGCTGCTTCTGGCTTTTGGATGGTTCAGACTTTCCTGTCCAGGCTGGCTTCAAACCACAATCCTCAGATCTCAGCTTCCTAAGTGGCTAGGATTACAGGTGTGAGTCACCACGCCCAGCATCTTCCTGTCCTTTTAAACACTGACCACAGAAAAAGCCTGGCGCTTTCTGAGCCCTTTCGGCTGGCTGCCTTCGGGGCTGTGTTCTCCACGGGCCTTGGCCAGGCTCAGGGCATTTGGTGTGTTCAAGGACGATGTCAATGAGCCGGGAGAAATCGACCTCCTACACCCCGCCGGACTGCCTCACCAAGCCCCCCAGGGGGGCCGGCACATGCTCTTCTGGGCAGTTATTTCTCCTTTTCTCTTCCCGCCACGAGCACAGAGGGGGCGAGGCAGAGCAGTGTTAGTACATACCGTGGCCGGGGACCTAGGGCAGGGAAGCAATGCAGGCAGCGGGACAGGCAGGAGGGCAAGAGAAGCGGGGACAGAAACCACACTTACTGTCAACAGAAGCGACACATCGCAACACACTTTTGTCTGCCTTAAAAGGGGGGCTCCCCGGTCACCCTGAGCAGAGCCCAGCCCCACCCCACCCCGGAGCTGAGAGGCCCTCTCCCCACCCCTCCCAGCACTCAGTGGAGGGAAGGCTTGTCCTTCCCTGCCCGGCCTCTCAGGCTGGCAGAAGGCAGAGCAGCCCTTTCCCAGGCTCGCCTCTCCCCAGAGGTCACCAAACCCACTGGCCTCTCTGAAACCACGCCCCGTCCAACACAGCCACCTCTTCTTATCCTAGGCTGGCTGACCAGGCCCTGGCTCCTTAGTAAAGGCTTCTGCTTGGAAGCTGGTGCAGGTGGCTCATGCCTGTAAGCTGAGCAATTTAGGAGGCTGCGATCTGAGGATCGCCAGTGAAGGCCAGCGGGGGCAGGAAAGTCTGTGAGACTCATCTCCCACTAACCACCCCAAAGCCAGATACCGAGCTGTGAGTCAAGTAGCAGAGCACCAGCCTTGAGTGAAAAAGCCAAGGGACAGTGCCAGGGATGGACGGCTGGCGTGTGGTCGTGGAGGAGACCAGGAGAAGGCTCAGGTGCCTGTATCCACGTCCCCGAGCCTTGCCCTGGCCAAAGGCACAGGCCAGTTTCTGTGCCGCCAAGATAAGGGCTTGGCAGAGACCAGATTTTTTCTGATGGTCCCAACCTTGGCGGTGCCAGGTGGCATCTCCTCCACACCAGCACCAGCCACATAAGGGACGTGGGCAACGTCGCGACCCTGCTAAGGGGTATCGGGAAGCCGTGGGGCCACAGGCCGGCCGGCACCGCACCAGCCACCCTGGACGTCCAAGACCAGACACGCCCCATCCAAGCCCCGGGCTCTGATGCTGGGCTGCGGGGTCGGCCCTCAGCCAATGGGAGACCGCCACCTGCACGTTGCTCGCGATGGGCGTGTCCCACCGCAGTGTGCGGGTGGGCATGGAATTGGGCTGAGGCTGGGTGCGGAGTGTGGGCACACGCCTGTGCCCTCTGCCCCCGACCCCACCCCCCACCCGGAGAGAAGACGCACAAATGAGTCACGGAGTAAAGGCTTCTAGGTGCTGGGCACAGGCTGAACGCTTCCTCTCAGTCTGAGCTACTCAACAGACAGCAAGGGAACTTGCTTCCAGGTCTTCCCACCCTCTCCTGGAGGTTTTGCTTTACACACAGAACATGGTGTGTGTGTGTGTGTGTGTGTGTGTGTGCATGCGTGCGTGCGTGCGCCTGTGCACACACACACATGCATGCTGGGGTTTGCACCCAGGGCCTTCCATGTACTTTGCCAATGAGCTGCGTGCCAGCCTGGGTACAGCGATTCCTAACGCTCTAACCCTTCCCGCTGTCAGGGGAGGCAGATGGCCCCGGGGCTCCATCCACGTAGTTCTGTTGTCAGTATTTAAATTCAGCTCTTGTGACAGCTCAGGTCCTGTCAGGCCATCTGCGCATGAGGCCACTGCTACCCTAGAATTCCAGGCCTTCCTGTGTTTGCTGTGCGATCACCCCAAAATCTCCCAGAGGGGGTGTCCCCAGACCCAGTCTGCACCTGGCTTTGTCTAGAGAGAGGGGGTGCATGGGAGGAGGGGGTGGGAGGGGCCGGGGCGCAGGGCCCCGCCCTTTACTGTCTGCGCTCCCACAGAATCCACAAGGCCTCGCCGGTACCTGCGCAGCCCTGGATTAGAGACGCCGGGGCCCCTCGTGGGCCTACAAAGTGGGGAGCATGGGAGGCACAGCGTCCACGCGAGGGCCCCCGGGGTCGCTACCCCCGACAGGCCAGTGGCTGGGCTCCCCACGGCAGAACCCCACGCCCCACTCACCATGATCACGGACACCCCGGTGGTGGTGCTGTTCTGTTTGGGGAGCGCATTATTAAAGTGCTGTTTTAGTTTACCTGTCACCTCAGCCTGCATGTTACTCTCCTGGGAGACGTCATCCTGCAGGGGAGAAAAGAAGCAAACCGAGTGAGTTCCGATCCCCACATGGGTTGAGTTTTGTTTCCGAAACCCCCCTCCCCTGACCTCCTGACCCCTTCCTAAACAGACCGTCCAGGCCATAGAACTAGGGGAACAATGATCTTTCAAAAGTAATGGGTGTCAGGTGGCTCACGCTGTAACCCTAGTTACTCAGGAGGCAGAGAGCTGAAGGCCACAGTTCAAAGCCAGCTGGGGCTGGCATTTACCACCAGAAAACCAGAAGTGGTGCTGTGGCTCAAGTGGTAAAGGGCTAGCCTTGGCCCAAAGAAGCTCGGGAACAGCACCCAGGCTCTGAGTTCAAGCCTCACAACTGACAAAAAAAGAAAAAAAATGTCATGGCTGGGTCTGCAGAGTGTGTCTGGGGAGACAGCACTTACACACACACACACACACACACACACACACACACACACACACACACACATACAGAGTTATTCAGCAGTGCCACATCCCAGAAAGACCCTGGACCACTCACTCCACTCTTCAGAACTAGACAAGGAGGGGAATAGAAGTCTCCAACAGCACAGAGGAAGACAGAATTATTTGGCTCCCATCTGAGGTCCTCACCAAGGCACCTACTTTAGCACAAAAACAGTCCCATGGAAACATAAAAACGGGTTGACCACTCATAATTTTAATAAAGAATTCGTGCCCAGTGCATTCATGAACACCTGTAGTGCCAGCATCTCAGGAGCTGAGGTAGGAAGATCACTTGAGCTTAGGCTTTCAAGGACAGCCTGGGTAATATTGCTTAAAAAACGAGGTCTGGAGTGGAGCCGAGGGCCGCGCGCGCCAGGCTCCGTCAGGCCCCAGGTTCCACCACCGGCACCGAGGCAAGAAAAAGAGTGAATTCATTTAGTTGTTGTTCTTTGTGGCATTTGGTCCAAAAGCCCAGTGATTCGGCGCAGGGAAGCCATGGGCCGGGAGGGAAAGAGAGCCCGGAGCCCCCGGGAGCCAAAGCCCTGAGTGAAGGAATTGAACTCCTGGAAACGAGGGAGCACAAACTCCCCAGCCATGGCCATTGGGTCCCCCGTGTCTGTCCTACGTCCAGGGCGCCACCACAGCCCTCACTGAAGGGACGCAGGGAGGGATGGGAGGGACGCGTCTCCATCCGACAGCCCAGGTGACACCCATGAGCTACAGAACGTGAGACACCGAGTCTCTTAAAAGAGTATCGTAGCTCAGCGCTGGTGGCTCACGCCTGTCATCCTAGCTACTCGGGAGGCTGAGCTGTGAGGATGGTGGTTCAAAGCCAGCCTGCGCAGGAAAATCCGTGAGACTCTTATCTCTAATAAACCACTAGAAAACCAGAAGTGGCGCTGTGGCTCAAGTGGTAGAGCGCCCACCTTGAGCTGAGGAGCTGAGGGACAGCGCCCAGGCCCAGAGTTCAAGCCCCATGACTGATGCCCCCCCTCAAAAAAAGCAGATGAGGAAACTGAGGCCCAGAAAGGGCTGGGGACCTGCCCAGGTTACTCACAGAGCAGGCTGGAAAAGTCGGGGACCCTGGGGCCTGCTGCCTTCTCCAGGGGCTCCCCTTGGGCCAGCTGCACCCTGGGGGGGGGGGACAGACACCCTGTCCACCTCTGAACTTGAACGCACAACTTGGCCAGGGCCGAGGACACGGTGAGGAGGCCCCTGTCCCGTGGGCGTCCGGCCCGGGGGGCAGGGGGGGGGGGGTACTTACTGACACCCAGGGGTGGCTGAGGATCTGCCCCGCCGTGCACCGCGCATCCACATCTACCTGCAGCATGTGAGTGATCAGCTCCTGTGGAAGAAGCGGACACCGCACACAAGCGCGGCGTCAGCAGACACACACAACGCGGCGCCGCATCCAGTGCTCGGAGCCAGACAGCACCGCCCGCAGCCCAGGACCTTCCAGAAACTTCCACAGACGAGGCTTTCATTGCCACAGCAGCAGTACAAGAGCACAGAAGGTACCCATGCACCCCAAGCGACGTGAACCCTGACACTTCTGGGTCAGTACCAACATTTCATGGGGTTCTCACAGCTCCTTCTCATATTCTGACGGCCGCCTAACAAACGAGCCGTGAATAAACCAAGAACTCAGAGACTAGGGAAGCGGGGTTGGTTGCAATGGAACGCAACCCCCGGTCACAGGCTAGCCCATTACCTTGGCAGAGTCAGTGATGTTATCCCAGTAGGGGGCTGGAAACTCAAGCTTCCCGGCCAGAATCTGCTCGAACAGGTCTTCCTGGAGATTGCTCTCACTGTTTGAGGGACAAGAAACGGAAGAGAAGTCCACGTCACCTCGCACTCCCACGGGAGGGATGGCAAGGGGTCAGTCTCTTTGGGTGTACAACACCACAACAATAACTGCATGTAGGGGAACACATGTTTCCTCTTAGGTATTAGCCCAAAGAAACAGTTAATATGAAAGTTGGGCATAGTGGCACACATCGGTAGTCCCGGCTATTTGGAAGGTTGAGATGGGAAGATCACCTGAGCCCAGGAGGACTGGGCTGGGCACACTGGACTCCACACGGGAGTCGGGGGGCTGGTTAGGATGGTGAATTCCACATCATGGATATTGACCACAAGACAGACAGACTTGAGGGTGAAAACGGGAAATCTATAAATAATGGAAATCTTCATTTGTGGGGGAAACATTTTTAGCATCTGCCCTCACTTCTCTCTCACGGTAATGAGACTTGAAAAGTAGCAGATCTGAGTCAGAGTGACTTGACTTTCCCCTCTTCACACTTCCAATGAAACAGCCAAAATCACAGGTAGCATGGGGTGGGGTGGGGGGTGGGGAGGGAAAGGGGGCGCTGACAAAGGAGCAAGCGGTGAGTAGGATGTGGTCAAAGTTGCTTGATGCAATCTGTTGGAATGGTTTGGAGAGAAGAGGGAGTAAGGGAGGGGGAGGGGAGAAGGGGCTGGAATACATGATGTATGTGTGGACATGTCACAACAAACTCCCTCCTCCACTAATGCATGCTGGTGTGTGTGTGTGTGTGTGTACACACACAGGTGATCCTGGGACTTAAACTCAGGGACCGGGCACTATCCCTGAGCTTCTATTTTTGCTCCAGGCTGGTGTTCTACCACTTGAGCCACAGCTTTATCTCCAGCTTTTACAGGAAGTAGTTCATTGGAGATAAGAGTCTCACGGACTTTCCTGCCCAGGCTGGCTTTGAACTGTGATCCTCGGATCTCAGCCTCCTGAGTAGCTAGGATGACAGGCGTGAGCCACTGGCTCTTGGCTTGCATGTTAACTTTGAGTTTAAACTTTAAAATACCAAAGTCAAAACACGGCAAAGAGCAGAACAGAAGCGCCAAGTCTGTGGGAAAGAGAGAGCGCGTGTGGAACCTGGAAAAAGCTAGAACCGCTCATCACCTGCGCTCAGTGTGAGGGAGAGAGAGCCCACAAGATGCCAGTCAGACCCCCCCTCCAGGCAGCCCTGGCTCCTCGATGGACCCCCCCCCCCCCGCCTCACCGCTACACCCTACATAGAGCCTGGTCAGGAAAAGACACTTTGGGTAGAAAGCATCAGAGAAACCTGAAACCCCCCTAGAAAAGATCCATGCACCCCCAGGGCGGAGGCTGCAGCTGTGAGGGTGAAGGCACGGAACATTCTGGAACTGGTGCGAGCAAGATCCAAATCCAGCACGGAGACCTGAGACTGCCTGTCAAGTGTGGCCAATTTCTTGGAATTTCTCCGCTGAGCCTTCGGAGTGTTCGTAACTCCCCACCGTCCCCCAAAACATGACACGTGAAGCCTGAGCACGGCCTGTCTCTAGAAACAGATCCTGCGCAGCCAGGTCTGGAGCAATGAGAACAGCAGCTTGGTTTTGTCCTACGATTAGTCAGGCGCTGGTGGCTCACGCCTGTTGTCCTAGCTACACAGGAAGGGGCGATCTGAGGATTGCGGTTCGAGACAGCCTGGGCACAAAAGTCTGTGAGACTCTAATCTCTCATCACAACCAAAAAAACCTAGAGCTGTGGCTCAAGTGGTAGAACTCCAGATTAGAGCGAGGGGGGAACTAAAGGTAGCACCCAGGCCCCAAGTTCAAGCGCTCTCTCTCTCTCTCTCTCTCTCTCTCTCTCACACACACACACACACACAGAGGAGAGTTGGCGAGCGGTTGATATCCATGGCTTTTAACCCAGCCCAGCGGACAGCACTGCACAAGGCTTGGGCAGGGTGAGAAACAAGGGTGAGGAGAGAAAAGAGCCGGGCCAGGCCTCCGCTGCCCTCGGGGGAGGGATTTCCCTTGGCTGCAAAGCTTTTCTTTCTATGTGGCCAGATATTTTCTTTCCCCGGCTCCCGTGTCCCTGCGGATTGAGCTCCACTCAAAACAAGCATGGAACATACTTCTGGACACAAGAGATGTTACAGAAACCTTTAGAAAACCAGGGAATGGCAGACCGTGTCCGAAGAAAGAGAAAATATTACTTATTTCCAGAATCGTCCCTTCACCCATCCTCCTAACTGTGCTATTCATTTCTTCCCATCCCCCCCCCCCCCCATCCCAGATCTCTTGTGAATCTGTGTAGTTTGATTTTGTCAATAAATCACTAAAAGCCCAAGTCTAAGTGCAGCAGCCATTTACAGCAGCTTCCGGGGGTGGGGGGTGGGGTGCTCTTAGCAATCCAAGCCTAGTCAACAAACAAGACCCTGGGTGGGGGAGGGGGCTCAGCAATTAGGATGGCACCCCAGAAGATCAATAGTGTGAATTACCAAAGCCAGGATACTACTAGAAGAGCCAGGAGCTAACGCTCATTCATCCTTCCCCATAGTCAAGGAAGGAAAGCCACGGGATCGAATCCCCACCATGGCAGGCACACCTGGCGCCAGGCTGCTCTCCTCCAGAGCACTTCTTTGGAAAACAAAACAGTCCTTGATTCATTTTTGTTTTTATTTGCTTAAACTCAGGGTCTGGGCGCTGTCCCTGAGCCTCTTTGTGTGCAAGGCTAATGCTCTACTATTTTCAGTCACACAGCACCACTTCGGCTTTTTCTGAGTAGTTTGTTGGGGTCAAGAGTCTCACAGACTTTCCTGCTTGGGCTGGCTTCGATCACGATCACAGATCACAGATTGATTTGCTAGGATTACAGGAGTGCACCATGGGTGCCCAGCCAAACAATCTTTGGATCACATCGAAAACAAGCCGTGCAGGAAATCTCCAACAACAAAGGAGTCAGCCAAGTCTCTTTCAGTGACAGACTACCCTCTGACTTTCAGGTCAGAAATGGCAGCCTGACACTGTCAGAATCTACTTCAGAAAGGCTGCTCAAATATTTCCCTGTGCCCGTGTGCCCATGAGTGTGTGTGTAGGGGTGTGTGTGTGTAGGTGTGTGTAGGTGTGTGTGTGTGTAGGTGTGTGTGTGTGTGTAGGTGTGTGTGTGTGTAGGTGTGTGTGTGTGTGTGCAGGAACATCAAGACACTGTAAGAATAGACTTGCTTTGGCAACAACAAAAATTTAGGGCACCTCTGGAAACCAAATCACCACCTGAGTGAAAATTAATGGGATGTGGCAAAGAGAAAAACAGAGAGAGAGAGAGAGAGAGAAAGAAGGTGGGGAGGAGGAGGGAGGGAGAACATCAAAACCCAGAAAGAAGAAAGAATGAGATGACACAGCCGAGGGACACTGAACTAGAAATTCCCAATAATTTCAGTTCAAATGCTTTGATTTGAAGTTGTCTGTTGTATAAAACAGAGAAAATGCTGTGAAGTTTTTGTTTGGCCTTAGGTAAAATTTTATGTAGATAATCCACTTGATACCATAACCATTGTCACTGAATTATCATGTTCTTTATACATTTTTATGTTATGTAGCTTGTGAAGTCTACCCTGAATGCCCCTGTGCTGGGAGACACAGGCTCCATAGTCCAGCACCACAGACTCTCTTCTGCACATTTCCTTCCGCCTTCAACGCAACGCGGTGCTCTCAGAACGTGGCTGGACGGCCCCTGATCAGACAGCTCCTTCTCTAGAGACCCCGCCAGAGGCTCAGTAACAGCCCATAATACATACAGGAATCTGGCTTTCTCTTGTGAAAAAATAAAATGCCCTCAGAACACACATCACCAAACAACAACAAAACAACAACAACAACACACACACAGGCCACCAGACATAAAAGATGGCCTTCCTCCCTGACTGCACTGATACAGAGAAACACTAGAGGGCGTGGTGAGCACACGTTCCCCTCATGCTGGTCCTCAGGACCCTTTCCCGGGAGGTCTCTCTCCACGGGAGGGGGACTCCATGGACCGGGCCCCAAGGTCCCTTGCTCTCTAAACATACCTCCTTTCTACACTTGACTAGCGTTCCCAACATGTCATTGCCAAAACCAGCCAGGGTCCAGGGTGACTGTGAAGTGACCACGAATGCTGTCTCTCCCCGTGAGGACCCGTTCATCAACCCCACGTGTGCTGGGCTCTAGGCTCAGCCGTGAAGCTTGAGTTAGCCAATGGGGCATCCCCAAGTGTGGGACAAGCAGACACGGTGACTGGCATGGGAACTCGCTCTCCGGCAACACCCACCGCCGTGCGCAGAACAGGCTAGCCCCTCGGAGAGGAAAAGACACCTGGCCAAGTTACTCCTGCTGTCCCAGCTGACAGGGAGTCAACTACATGAGAGGTCAGGCTAGACCACCAAGCCCCTGGTGAGTCCGTCCAGAAGAAAGTCCCGATGGGGCCACTGAGTTATTGATTCCCACCTAGAAGGAAGATCAGGAGCTGACAGTTGGATGACAGAGCTTTCCCTCCACACAGAATTCCACACTCACGGGGCTGGGCGCGGTGGGCGCGGTGGGGTGGGGGGGCAGAGGCGCACACCAGGTGTGCGGAGGCAGAGATCAGGCTGACTGACACCATTCTGGGTAAAAAGTTAGTGAGCTCCCAACTCAGCACACAGTCTGGGCGTGGACAGGAGGGTCACAGTCTGAGGATCCCCAGGGTGAGAATGTGAGACATTTTATCTGGGGGGAAAAAAAGGATTTAAAACAAAAACAGGGGGCTAGGACTGGGAAGGTGGCTGAGTGGTAGAGCGCTTGCCTTGCATGCATGAGGCCCTGGGTTCGATTCCTCAGTACCACATAAGCAGAAAAAGCCAGAAGTGGTGCTGTGGCTCGAGTGGTAGAGTGCTAGCCTTGAGCTGAAGAGCTGAGGGACAGCGCCCAGGCCCAGAACTGACAATAACAACAACAACAAACAGGGGCTACTGTAGGCTTGGTTAAGTAATAAAGCACTTTCCTGGCAATTGTGAGGCCCTGAGTTTAAGCCCCAGTGTTACCAATGCTCTGACGTTCCTGAAACCTTGGGTGGTTTCAACCGCGCATGCCCTCAGAACTACGTGTTCGCACCACGAATGTCTGTCTCCACGCCCGAAGGACTGTAAACACAGACAACGGTGTGTCTGCATCATTCTGCTTTTTGGCAATTATCAACAAAACCCCTTTACACTCAATTGAAACACCGATGACTTTTAAAAAGAGAAGTTTTCCATTTTAAAAATTTTATATCAATTTTAACCAGCGAGCCGGTTTCTGCCATGAGTGAACACTGGTTTGTAGGTGTGCGATTGCTCACACGCGTGCACTGACCTGCGGAACGGCGGAAATCCACACAGGAGGATGTACGTGATCACGCCCGCCGCCCACACGTCCACCTTCAGGCCGTAGCTGCAAGACAAGGAGAGGCATGGCAGGACTCCCTGGAACTGCCCTTGATTCTGGGGTGCTGCCTTCCTTAGGGAAAAGGGTCATACTCCCGTTTCCCCCACAGGAATGAATGAATTACCCTGTAGACAAAGCCCTTTGCTTTTCTTCTTAACCTAATCACAATCTTGATTATTTAGAAAGTGCCAATCTGTGTGTGTGTGTGTGTGTGTGTGTGTGTGTGTGTGTGTGTGTGTGCGCACATTCGTTTTTATCATTATTAATAAGGAGTCGCTGGAAGGGTTTGCAATTTCAAAAGTCAGGTTAAGAGTACAACGCTCCGCAGGCCTCTGCACCCCTTCCTTTGCTTTTCTCCATTTTCCCTTCCCTTTCCCACCTACAACTTGTGCAGTTCCTTTTCTACACAGTGTATTTTGAATACAGTGGCTGCCCTGGCCTACCCTTCCTGCAAAAGTGCCAATTCACTTTTTCCCCTTCTTCTGTGGGTCGTAGAGTTTGAACTCAGGGCCTGGGCGCTGTCCCTGAGCTCTGTTTTGCTCAAGGCTAGCCCTCTACGACTTTGAGTCACAGCGCCACTTCCGGTTTTCTGGTGGTTAATTGGAGTCTCGGGGACTTTCCTGGCTTTGAACTGCGATCCTCAGATCTCAGCCTCTTGAGTAGCTAGGATGACAGGTGTGAGCCTCCAGCGCCGTGTGAAAGGGCCAACGCTTGCCACTGGTCTTGGCTCTAAAGTTCCAGCCTGGGGCTCTAGGCCAGGGAAACACACACGACAGCTCTTCAGCCTGAAGTCAGACTGCAGGCTCCACCCCTCTCTGCCTGGCTTTCTGCTCCTGGTCACCAGGCACGGGACACAGGCGCAGTGCGCACAGAAGCCACTCTTCCCACGCCAGCCCCCACCACCCGAGCCTCACCCGGTTTCAGCGATGATTTCGGGGGCCACATAGGTGGGCGTGCCGCAGACGGTGTACAAGGGGCCTTCCACGACGGTGGCCAGCCCGAAGTCACCCAGCTTCAGGGACTTGGTCCCATCCGGGTATTCACACACCTGCAACAGAACACAGCGCACGCACGCACGGTCAGACGCCTCCTCCTCCTCCTCCTCCTCCACAGGGAGCCAGGGCAGGGCAGACACAGGCCCGTTTCTCATCAACTCGAAGGAAACCTCTCCCTCCAGGAGCATGGCCCCTTAGCTTGGTTTCTGCATAGTGCTTACTTCTTCTCTTCAGAGAGTTGGCAGGCTTTTGTGGAATTTGGAAGCCATTATTTGGGGCCTGCAGGAAGTACCATCCCTAGGAAGCTAACAACCCCGGGGTGTGCTCACACACCCAGGCTTGAGAAATGCCCGAAAGCTGACCCGACTGTGTGCCACGCACTGGACAGACCAAGAAAGAGAGTGCTGATGAGTAACCACGCAGCCAAGCACCGGGCCTCCTCCATGGTAAGTGTGTGCTCACTTTAGAAGATAAAATTCGGGGTGGAGGTGGGTGGCCTTGTATTCTGGACTATCAATGATGAAATATAAAAATTAAATTGTGTGCGCGTGTGTGTGTGTGTGTGTGTGTGTGTGCTACTGAAGTTTGAATCCAGGATCTCATGCCTGCTAACTTTCTGGTTAGTCTTACTCGTCTTCTTGTCTTAAAAATAATCAACTTCAGAGGGGAGAAAAAAACCACAACAGAGAACGAATGTCTAGCAGAGTTCTCCAGTTTGGCATCTGAAACATCTTTGGTTTGCTTTCCCTCATATTTTGCTACAGTCTGAATTTTATCTCAACTACTGCCGACTAAAGAAGAAAAAAAAACTGAGAAAATGTTTCCTCAGGAGGAGCCATTTCTGATGTCATTCCTTAGTCCGCTAGGCAGTGACGCCGTGATTTATTTAGTTAGCTATCAATGAAACCTTCACTACCTCCCAAGCAATCCACACCAATGCTCACGGAGCTCTGCAGACGTGGAAAGGGGTGGGGGCTGAGACACATCCCAGGTCTGAGCTAACATTGTTCGTGTTCACCGTTTGTTACATGGGAATAAGGGTGAAGATTGTGAGTCCTTCTCAGTTCTTTCTAATTCTGAGTTCTAATTCCTTCTGATTCTGAGTCCCTGCACAAACACACTCAAAGACATGAATGGTTTAGTCTGAAGTCTCAGATCTTGATTCTGAGCCATGCCAGCTCCGAAGATTTTCCACCATTACACATATTGGAATCAGGCTTCAGGCTTTGTTTGGCTTTGGTTCTTTTTGAAGTATGGGGACTTGAACTCAGGATAAGACAAGCAATCTATCACTCCAGCCATGCCCCCAAGCCCTGATCTGTCACAGTTAATATGAACATTAACAAAAATGATTAGAGTTATAATTAGGATTTCTCATGGACTCACTGAAACCCAGACATTAGAAAGAAATGTTCTAAGTCATTGTGGTGATAAGAACATAATCAGCACAAGTTCCTAAATGCCTGTATCATGAGTCAAAAAAAGTCTTAGTAATGTCACTGTTATTTTGTTTTTATGTCTTAAAAATACACCCATTAGGTAGTACTTTTGAAAAATAGTGTTTCTTTTAAGCAGTCAGTTTGGACATGTCTAAGGGCATGTTGTTCAATCTCAGAAGATCCCCACGTCCTGTTTCTTATATCCCCCAAAGAATTCCAAGTCGGGAGCATAAAGAGAGAGAGAGAGAGAAAGAGAGAGAGAGAGAGAGAGAGAGAGAGAGCAGTCTGTAGTCACTGAATTATGTCTGGGCAAGCTGTCCTCCTCAGCAAAACAGTTCAGGAGAATGTCACCGGGAAAGACACCCCTGAGATACTACTATTTGATCTGATTCCTCACTCCCCAGTGCGACACACAGATAATGAGTAAGAGGTGAGAACGCTCCAAGTCTTAGGTGGAGATGGTCTACAAGGCTGGAAGAATTAAATATGGCGTGTGGATCTAGACAGACACAGAGACACGCGTGGCATTATTTTGAGGAACTTCACAACTGGGTCTAACTTGGTGGCAGAGAAATAAATTTCCTACCATGTAAAGGCCGGGAGCTCAATCCCCAGCAAGAAAATAAAAGAGAAAAAAAAATGGCTTTTGACTTGATTTACTTATGTTGGGCCTCATGGTGAGGGGGGAGGTGGGGGCAGGTGGGGGGCAGGTGGGGGGAGGCGGGGGGGAGGTGGGGCAGGTGGGGGGAGGTGGGGGCAGGTGGGGGGAGGTGGGGGCAGGTGGGGGGAGGTGGGGGCAGGTGGGGGGAGGTGGGGGGAGGTGGGGGGGAGGTGGGGGAGGTGGGGGGGAGGTGGGGGCAGGTGGGGGGAGGCGGGGGCAGGTGGGGGGGAAGTGGGGGCAGGTGGGGGGCAGGTGGGGGGCAGGTGGGGGGAGGTGGGGGCAGGTGGGGGGGAGGTGGGGGGAGGTGGTGGCAGGTGGGGGGGAGGTGGGGGCAGGTGGGGGGCAGGTGGGGGGCAGGTGGGGGGAGGTGGGGGCAGGTGGGGGGGAGGTGGGGCAGGTGGGGGCAGGTGGGGGGGAGGTGGGGGGAGGTGGGGCAGGTGGGGGGAGGTGGGGGGAGGTGGGGGGCAGGTGGGGGGAGGTGGGGGGCAGGTGGGGCAGGTGGGGGGAGGTGGGGGGAGGTGGGGGCAGGTGGGGGCAGGTGGGGGGGAGGTGGGGGCAGGTGGGGGCAGGTGGGGGGGAGGTGGGGGGAGGTGGGGGCAGGTGGGGGCAGGTGGGGGGAGGTGGGGGCAGGTGGGGGGAGGTGGGGGGGAGGTGGGGGCAGGTGGGGGCAGGTGGGGGGGAGGTGGGGGGAGGTGGTGGCAGGTGGGGGGGAGGTGGGGGCAGGTGGGGGGAGGTGGGGGGAGGTGGGGGGAGGTGGGGGCAGGTGGGGGCAGGTGGGGGGAGGTGGGGGGAGGTGGGGGCAGGTGGGGGCAGGTGGGGGGAGGTGGGGGCAGGTGGGGGGGAGGTGGGGGGGAGGTGGGGGCAGGTGGGGGGGAGGTGGGGGCAGGTGGGGGGAGGTGGGGGCAGGTGGGGGGGAGGTGGGGGCAGGTGGGGGCAGGTGGGGGGGAGGTGGGGGGAGGTGGGGGCAGGTGGGGGCAGGTGGGGGGAGGTGGGGGGCAGGTGGGGCAGGTGGGGGGGAGGTGGGGGCAGGTGGGGGGAGGTGGGGGCAGGTGGGGGGGAGGTGGGGGCAGGTGGGGGCAGGTGGGGGGGAGGTGGGGGGAGGTGGGGGCAGGTGGGGGCAGGTGGGGGGAGGTGGGGGCAGGTGGGGGGGAGGTGGGGGGGAGGTGGGGGGGAGGTGGGGGCAGGTGGGGGGGAGGTGGGGGGAGGTGGTGGCAGGTGGGGGGGAGGTGGGGGCAGGTGGGGGGAGATGGGGGGAGGTGGGGGGAGGTGGGGGCAGGTGGGGGCAGGTGGGGGGGAGGTGGGGGGGGAGGTGGGGGCAGGTGGGGGGGAGGTGGGGGCAGGTGGGGGGAGGTGGGGGGAGGTGGGGGCAGGTGGGGGCAGGTGGGGGGAGGTGGGGGCAGGTGGGGGGGAGGTGGGGGGCAGGTGGGGGGCAGGTGGGGGGAGGTGGGGGCAGGTGGGGGGGAGGTGGGGCAGGTGGGGGGAGGTGGGGGCAGGTGGGGGGAGGTGGGGGCAGGTGGGGGGAGGTGGGGGGAGGTGGGGGGAGGTGGGGGGAGGTGGGGGCAGGTGGGGGGGAGGTGGGGGGCAGGTGGGGGGCGGTGGGGGGAGGTGGGGGGAGGTGGGGGCAGGTGGGGGGAGGTGGGGGCAGGTGGGGGGGAGGTGGGGGGGAGGTGGGGGCAGGTGGGGGGGAGGTGGGGGGCAGGTGGGGGGCGGTGGGGGGAGGCGGGGGCAGGTGGGGGCAGGTGGGGGGGAGGTGGGGGGGAGGTGGGGGCAGGTGGGGGGGAGGTGGGGCAGGTGGGGGGAGGTGGGGGCAGGTGGGGGGGAGTTGGGGGCAGGTGGGGGGGAGTTGGGGGCAGGTGGGGGGAGGTGGGGCAGGTGGGGGGGAGGGGGGGTCAGGTGGGGGGGAGGGGGGCAGGTGGGGGGAAGCATTATCACTCCCACCCATTGGCTCAGAGAGGGTGGAGGAGGGGAAGTCCCAACAAAGTCATGGTGGTGAATCTGGAGCCCCAGGGCCTCACTGGCACCACCCCGAGGATCGGCTTACAGCTCTGCCTCCATTTCTCCTTGGAGTTCACAAAACCATAATACACTTACTTATTTATTTCAGACCAGGGATTTCCCTCGCTCCATAGAAAGATCTAGACATAAAGCACAGCGGAGTAGCCCTGGTCTGGGAACCAGGGGTGCCACTCAGTCATACAGTAAACGTTTGCCGAATGCGGGGTGCCCTAGATGCCATCTCCAGCACGGCACACACGTGTGCGGGTCCAGCCAGGCAGGGTGGCGCTGCGTCTCTGCAGTCCTAGCTAGCCGAGAGGATGAGACAGGGGCAACCTCGAAGTCCAAGAATCCAAGACCAGCCTGGGCAGCACAGTGACAGACAAGGCTTTAAAACAGTGCTTGGAGGGCTGGGAAGGTGGCTCAGGGGTAAGCGCTTGCCTTGCATGCATGAGACCCTGGGTTCGATTCCTCAGTATCACATAAGAAGAAAAAAGCCAGAAGTGGCGCTGTGGCTCAAGTAGAGCATTCACCTTGAGCTGAAGAGCTGAGGGACAGCACCCAGGCCCAGAGTTCAAGCCCACGACTGACAGACAGACAGACAGACAGACAGACAGACACACACACACACACACACATACACACACACATACACAGCAAAGTACTTGGAGCCAGGCGTTGGTGGTTGCTTATACCTGTGATCCTAGCTGTTCAAGGGGCTGAGACCTGGAGGACCTAAGTTCAAAGCCAGCCAAGAAGAAAGCCTGATAAGCCTCCCTCTCTAATTAACCGGCAAAATGCTAGACTGGAGGTGTGGCTCAAATGGTAGCATGCCAAAGCTAAGAGATGGCACAGGGCCCTAAATTTAAGCTCCAGTAGTGTGCATGTGGGCGCAGAGAATAAAACTTGAAATGATCTACAGAGCTAAGAGCTTCCCGCACATACACGCTACCTATAAAGGTAACTGTGCACAGTATTTTAAGTAATTTTGTGCATGAAATGAAGGTTTCACGGGTGGAATTTTCCACCTGTGGTGACATGTTGGTGCTCAGAAAGGTGTTGTTGGGAGGCAGGGCCTCACTGTGTGGCCCAGAAGGAGCTCACACTCACAGTCACAAATGCGCACCACTGACTTTGAAAGTGGCCACTTTCAGGGTATTTCAGCTTTCGTGTTGGTGCGGGATGATAGATGCGCAAGCTAGACAACGCCTTCCAGGCGGAAAACAGTCAGAGCTGTGATGCCACGCGCTTCCGTGGGAATAAGAAGAGATGGTTGATTGGATGGTATTATGGAAAAAGGGAGAAAGGGAGGAGGGGAGGGAAGAAGAGTCCTTAAAATGTGTAAGTATTCTGTGACCCGTTGTCCGTGCGCTGCGTGCGTCCCGTGCCGGCTGCCCGTGGAGAGCTGCTCGGCATCGGGCACCGGGCATCGGCAGCAGATAGGGAATGAGTGCTTCTGCCTTGGACTTTCTTGGCACTGTCCAAGGTACTGGAGACAGAAAGAACATTGAGGCGCTTGACTTCTGGGGTGCTCAGAAACGCAAGGAGGAATCGAGCCAAGTAAATAACTCAGTGCTACAACCACTTTACAGGAGCAAAGACAGGAGCTGGAAGAGGAGGGGGAGGTGTGGAACGCACCAAGAGGTTCTCCGGCTTGATGTCCCGGTGCACGATGCTGAGGCCGTGCAGGTACCTGAGGGCGCTGGCCAGGTTGTACACCATGGCGCTGCCGTCTCTCTCGGTGTACTTGGTGGAAGAAGTGATGGCATCAAAGAGGTCTCCGCCCTAGAGAATATGCCAGAACATCAGCAGCACGGCCCTATGCAGGCAGGGCGTGCACATGTTCCAGCAGCATGCAGTAACAAGGTCCCTCCCCCCCCCCTCGGTCTACAAGCATCAAGTGTCACATTTATGCTTAGCTGGGAAGCTCATGCCTACAATCCCGGCACACTCAGGAGGCTGCGATCTGAGAATCAAGGTTCAAACCCGACCCCGGGCAGGAAAGTCTGTGAGACCCTTATCTTCAGGCTTCTACGTAATGAAAGCTTCTGGAAGGCGGAGCGTATTCCCTCAGGAACATCTCAAGTGTTAGAATCTGGCCCCAAAGGAAACCTTCCGTCTCACCTTGACCAGTTCCATCACCAGGAAGAGCTCGCTCGCCGTCTCCATCTCCTCCACCAGCATGATGATGTTGGGGTGCTTCACCCGGCGCAGGATGGACACCTCATTCTCAATCAAGTGCTCCTGTCAGACAAGGGGGGAGGGGGTGAGCTGAGCCACAGAGCCCTCAGCTCTGTCCCCCGCCCAGAGGACCCCGGACAGACAGAGGACACCTGTCTCCTGCCAAGAAAAACCACAGCCTGGCCATCCAACCAACAAAACAGACGAGGCTGAGGGAGGGAGGGAGAGAGGGGGGAGAAAGGGGGGCGCATGTTGCTCTGTGGGGATCCCCCTCCCCCCCCCCACACACAGCAGCCCCTCTCTCTCCTGAGCTGGTGCCCGGATGAATGCGGGGCACGCAACACTGTGCCTTTTCAAGCCAGCCAGCTTGAGCCACAGTGATGAGCACTCCCTGATCACCTGATCACCCTGATCGCAGTAACAAAGCAGAGCCAAATCTACTCCAGTGAGCAGGGAAGGAAAAGCCGGCAAAAAGGCGGATTTCACTCTGCAGCAAGTGAAGCCACGGCAGCGGCCACTACTGTGGGAAAACACGCCGAAGAGTTTTCCTTCTAAAGCTCCTTCTCCTTCCTCTGGGTCTCCGCACTGACCTCTGCCAGGGGCTCTGGGCTGCTAATTTGTTATGGAAAGAAATCCCCTCCCAGACTGGAGTTAAAATAAGGTATGCATCAGAGAAAGAGAAGTCATTAGCCTTGCCAATAAAAGGAAAGTCTTTGGGGACACACAGGGCACCAGCGGGGTCAGAGTTCACACAAGGAACAAGCACTGTTGCCAGTGTCCTCTTGGCTGCTACTTCCAACCTTAGCCTCCGGTGCCCGCTTCACAGTCCAGTCTCCTGAGCGGGCGGAGGATGCTTTGTGTGGCTGTGGAAGCAGGCAGCCTGTCTCGCAACCTTTCTAGCCCTGTAAAGTGGTCTCGGGAGAAGCAATCCTCTTCTGGAAACGAATCATCAGAAGCAAAACAAAAGCCTTGCCTAACCATGACTACAAACAGCCATCTTCACACACACCATCTCCCTATTTCTCATGTCCTTTGTCTCTGCCTGGTATAAACATTCTCTAGTTTGTTCCAAACAGGATATGAATATGACTTCTACCTTGGACCACACTGAATTTACATGCTCTCTTATTATTTATGTGAAGGGATTCACGATTCTAACTGCAAATAGTTTACATATGAATCCTCCAATGGTCCCACCAGCCCGTGGTGATAGAATAAATGACAGGGACATCAGCCAAGTGGGGGGAGGATAGGCAAAGGGTGATAGGCCAGGCTGATTCCAGCAGCTTTTACAAAGAGACAAGGAAGAGATCAGGGGGTAAACAACTCACCCCAAGCAAACCCCTCCTCTCCCTCCCGGCCTCGAGCCTCAGTCTCCCCTCAGTTCTCTGTCTCATTGATGAACCTGGCAGGCCTAAGTGGACACGGGGATTCTGCCTTGGTTCCTCCTGCAGAGTCCACCCACTCACCTCCTCCGGCCCTCCTGGCAGCTCCCCTGGACGGGCAGCGTCTGCACAGGCGGTTTCTAGCCGGGACTTGCTTTCCTCGTCTCTCCAAGGCTCCCCTGCATATTCCTTATGTGCAGTCTGCCCTCACCGGCTCGGGCAGGGCTGGGCTGGGGGCCCTGCTGTCCCCTCCCTCTGTCAATCGCAGCCCTGGGCTCCCATTGCAGTATTTCAGTTGTTCCTGGACTGGTCTATATCTCTCGGGGGACTGAAGCTCATGGATGATTAAAAAAAAGATGAAAATAATCTGAACAATGTAACGGGCTTAACCTAATATGGAGAGACGAAGGGTCCAGGTTTCCCCTTATAGTTGGAAGCTAGATTTAGCTCACACACTCCTAAGACGTTGAATGGTATGCAAGTACACATGAACGCATTAATGGAACTAGAGTAGATTCAAGGGAGATCTCAAATAGTCTAACTCTTTAGAAAGGCAAAACCCAATGTTCAGCAAACGAAAACACCAGGAAATGGGTACTCAGAAGGGGTGGGGTCATGGGGTCGACAAAGGAAGAGCAGAAGAGGGGGAGAATGCAGTCAAGAATCCAGTGTGTATCCCGCAGAACTAAGAAGAGCGAGGGGCGGGGAGGGGCGGGGAGGGGCGGGGAAGGGTGGGTGAGAACGTTGAATGGGCTGACATGGGTCAAGGTGCACTGTATTCATAAACTGCTTTGTTAAATGGCAACTCCTTTATACAACTACTTAACGATAATAATTTTAAAAAATGAGAAAAAGAACCCTATAAACTAAATATAATGTAATTATGTGATCAAATACAAAGAGATTTATAAGCTATTTTTCTACTCTGAGTCTGAGTACTGAGTCTCTAAAACCTGGTACGTTTTCATGGAATTTTCAAGTCAGACCAGCTTCCCTTCAACTATGGTGGCCTTCTATGATCAGCAGCAATAGTGCTGGTAACTGTGGTTCTAGAACCTTCTCTTTTACCTAACAAGCCACCAGAAAGGACTCATAGAAAGAACTTTATTGCCAGATGCTGGTGGCTCACCTGGCTACCCAGGAGGCTGAGATCTGAGGATCACAGTTCAAAGCCAGCCTGGGCAGGAAAAGTCTCTAAGATTCTTATCTCCAATTAACCACCAAAAAGCTGGGAGTGAAGCTGTGGTTCAAGTGGTAGAGCACCAGCCTTGAGATAAAAGTTTAGGCACAGTGTCCAGATTCTGAGCTCAAGCCCCCAAACTGGTACCAAAAAAAAGACCTTTGTGATCGTTGAGTGACAAACCCCAGTCCAGTGGCTGAGCAACATTTCACTCCACCGCCATCTGAGAGGCAAACGGTGGTCTCCCCATTAAGGAGACCACTGTTCACAGTTTCTGCTCAATGCTAACCAGTATTTGCTCCAAACCATCCTTGCAGATATGTGTGCCGCAAATGCCTTCCAGAGGTGCACATGGCCACTGTTTGCTGAGGGAATGCAAATGCTCTTCTCTGGGGAAAAGCTCTGGCGGGTGGGACAGCAGCTCGCTCGTAAGACTGGGGGGTTTCCTAAGCTTGGGGCATCTCTGCTTAGGGCTGGGACCTAGATGCGGGCATTCACCCCCGCCCCCCTGCCAGCATCACTTCCGTGGGACCTTGGAGTCTGGGGCCACAGCAAATGTGAGCACCACTCCTGCTGTGCAGCAGGTGAATATCAGCTGACTGGGATCCATTCTTCTGTCCTCTGCCAGCCCCTGTGGGGCCAGCGCGGGTAACATCTCAGACCCCACAGAGTACTTAGCACCACTGCTCGATGGGGTTAGATTTTGAACTAAGCATCTCCCAGAAAAGAGAACGTATACTTTCAATAGTCAAAGATCAAATCAGTTGATCCACTTGAGATTCAACATTTCCCCAGGATCACCGGCAGCCGACTCCTGCTCCAGTGCTCCTCTCAGCTCCCCACTTACAACCCTCCTCACAGCAATCATCTCACCAGATTACTTTAGGCTGTTGTGATGCAGTAGCTATGCGTACGTACCTTTCCGCAGCATTTGGCTTTGTCTATGATCTTCAGTGCAAACTCTTTTCCAGTGGACCTAGGAATAATGTGAGAGGACCATTAAAGCCAACTCAGGTGTCATAGCATATGCCTGTGACCCTGGGTATTCAGAAGTCACGATCTGGGAAGGCGGTGTCTGAGACCAGCCTAGGCAAAAGCTTTCTGAGACTGCATCTCAGCTTCTAGCTGGACACAGGGGTGCACATGCCTGCCGTCCCAACAACACAAAGAAGTTGCACAATTACAGATGTGAGCCATGAACACCCAGGGCCCAGAGCAATGCTGCTCTTAAACACAGTTGGGGCTTACCTACCCATAATTCCTGCTCGATCAGCTGTTATCTGACAGGATGTCTGCAGAAATGAAGTGAGCTGGTACTCCGTGCAGACGGTGAATGAGGCCAGCACAGGACAAAGCTAAGGAGACACTTTCCTATCTAAAGTTCCCCTTCCTTACTGGCTCACGAAGGAGATCTCATATATTAGATATATCTCTAAGTGCCAAAGCACACAAATAGTTTGATGTGCATGCATGTGATTCTCCTGTCACACTGCTTATAAGTGTGCCAAATAGCCCATCCAAGGGTGGACTCTTACAGGGATGTGTGTAGGGGCAGGTAAGAATAAACGAAAAGAGGGTAAGTTTGATCAAAGCATGTTACTATGCATGCCTGGAAGTATCACAGTAAAACCCCTTAGTGCAATTATTATCTATTAATAAAAATACTTTGACAGAAGAGAATAAACTCAAAGGAGATGAGCCAATCGTCACCCTCTCCTCACCGGTCCATGCACTCTTTGACAACTGCAAAATTGCCATCTCCAATGACTTTCCCAATTCTGTATTTCTCCAGAAGAGTTGAGGATTCGGAGCACCTGTTCCCATTCACACCTGAAAACAGAAATCAAATAAAGTATAAGAAAAAGGCTCCAGGAAACATGGGCATTTCACAGTGATTTCTACCTGTTCGCAAAATGATAAATTGCAATGTATCTATTCTCCAGTCTCCGGTGAAAACCCAAGAAAACCCCTTGGTGTCCTTCCTTCCTCAAGAGAACACCTGAATCACCAATCTTGGGTTGACTTTCTTCGCTGGAGTAGGAAAATGACAAAATCAGTCTCCTGACAAATCCCTAAAATAAATATCAGCTGAAATCAATGATTAGCTCTTGGGTAAAAGGGAAGTCTAACTAGAACTTTCCCAAACTCTTCGGTCCATACCGCAAAACAAGGAAAGGGACGGTGGTGAGGATCAATCTTTAGGAATATCCTGAAGATTCACCTAAAGATGATTTTTAGTAAAGAAATACTATGCAGTAAGATGTGCAGTGGTGACAGGCAGACAGGGATGTGTAAGATGGGAACACTTGTCACAGCATGTTCTGGTGCCCAGTGTATAGCAGACGCATATCTGTGTTATCTAATTGAGTCAAAGGAAACACATTTAAGAATTATGCGCCAGGCGCTGGTGGTTCACACCTGTAAGCCTAGCTACTCAGGAGACTGAGATCTGAGGATCGCAGTTCAAAGCCAGAGGGGGCAGGAAAGTCCATGAGATTCTCATCTCCAATTAATCACCAGAAAACCACAAGTGGCACTGTGGCTCAAAGTGGTAGAACATCAGCCTTGAGCAAAAGAGCTCAGGGACAGGGCTTAGGCCCTGAGTTCAAGCCCCATGACCACCACCAACAATATAAAAAGAATTGTGAACAAATCATCATTAAGGAAGTTCATACCAATGAGATTGTTCCTGTCTTGAAATGATCCTGTTCTGTCACTCACTAAGACTAATGAGGTTAGCATGTGGTATGGCCATAGCCCAGTTTGGGAAAAACAGGTTTGGCGATGAGCATCGAGTTCACATGGATGATTTCCTGTACCAAGGTAAAGATCAGATTGACAGCTACCTTCAGGACTCATGCAGCGATCAAGTTCTAGTCCACCATTCACATTGGAAGAAGATCTGCCATGCGTGGAAGTCTGCAAGAGGAGGAGAGGGGCAAGTCTGTATTAGGATACCTTTACACGTCTTCAGCTTCCCAATCCCTGAATAACAGAGTGTTCATGGAATGCAGAATCTATTAGTACAGAAATAGGAGAAACATGCCCTTCCTTATCTCTTTCTTTATATATAATTGTATTGTATTTCTTTCTTAGACATATTTTCTTTCTAATTTGTTTTTCAGGTTTTTTTGTTTTGTAGTACTAGGCCTCATGCTTACCATTGGAGCCACGCCCTTTCTATTCAGATTTGCTTCTAGAAAACTGGCGTATTATTTACTTTCATGTTTTGATAATCTGTATTACTTTTTACTTCCACAAAACAAAGGAGGCTTTAAGGCATCACAGTTGAACAAAATGCTTATTATTGGTTAAATAAGGCTTATATTTATATTTATTTATTTATCTATTTTTGTTGGTCGTGGGGCTTGAACTCTGGGCTTGGGCGCTAACTCTCAGCTCTTCAGCTCAAGGTGAGCATGCTACCGCTTGAGCCACAGCGCCACTTTGGGTTTTCTAGTGGTTTATTGGAGATAAGAGTCTCATGGACTTTCCTGCCAGGGCTGGCTTTGAATCATGATTCTCAGATCTCAGCCTCCTGAGTAGCTAGGATTACAGGCATGAGCCACTGGCACCTGGCTATATTTATTTATATCTATATATTATATATATTTCTAATAGCTTCAGATTAAACACCTGGCTCCACAGAGTTCAATCATCTTACTGACCAACAGTAAAACATAATTAATGATCAATTTCAGTATTTGTAGCATTTTTAATTATACTTAAATAGCTGTGCAGGGGAGTTACCATTTACAAACAGTTTATGAATACAATGCATCTTGCTCCAGGTCAGCCCTTTCAATACTCTCACCCGCCCCTCCCCAACCCACCTCTCCCCTCAGTCTTCTTAAATTTGTAGGCTATACATTGAATTCTTGACTGGTTTTTGTGGTCTTATTTATTTAGGCACTAAATTAGAAGGGATACAGCAATTGGTAGAACTCTATAAAAGAATATTTTAAAGCTAGAATGTTTAAAATCAAGGCCCCGGGAGAGAACTTTGTGAGTAGAGCTATGGCTCAGGTTGTAGAGTGTCAGCCTTTGGTGAACAAGCTAAGAGACAGTCCCCAGGCCCCAAGTTCATGCCCTAATACTGGCACAAATAGAAAAAAAAGCATTTAGAAAAGCCTACAGAATTAATAGAAGTGAGGTCTTCGATACGTACCTGTATTTGAAAATAAGGCTTTCCTGCACAAAATGAATTGCATAAGAAGATAAGGGAATCGTTCTAGTAAAATGCTGCTGAACAGACATGAGACATGGTGATTTTCCTTTCTCCCGCCTCACTATTGAATACCACCTGAAGCTACCACCTTCATGTTCTAAAGACTGCCAAGATGACTTCTCCCCGGTTCATAATCCATGAGTGCACTGAAGACACCGCTGTGCGTCTTCGTGATGCAGACTTTTCTGCTGTTGCTCTCAGTGGGCAGCGTCCACACGGCCCTTTTACCACTCAGTGGGGACTGCGGGGGTGGCAGCCTTGTACCAGGCAAGCCTGCTTAGTGCTGCAGCTCCGCAGCAGACAGTGCCTGCCAGTACTGCAGCTGCTCTGCTTCAGCTGCTGTACTGTCCTTGGTGTTGACCTAGTCCAGGACAGCAAACCATGTGTGTAAAGAACTTATTCAGAAGTATTTGCCACTGCCTCCACCTCTGTCCATCACTTGTCTTCCTGAGCTCTCTCTCTCTCTCTCTCTGAGTCTGGAGGTTCTTATACCAGGGGCTGTGTTTTGATTGGTTGACCCTATTGTAATTAGATGTTTTAGAAGGTAACATTTTATTGGTCAGGTCCTGCACCATTCTGATTGGTTAATTCATAATCAGCTCCCTTCTGCAAACCCTCTCCCCAGGAGGACAGGAAGGTTATTGAGACTAGAAGGGGCGAGGAGGGGCAGAGGTGGAATGTTTGAAAGTGTATCATCTGTATCTGGATTCTGGTCCAGGAGTTCTACCTAATTTGCTCTTGGTAATGGTCACAAGTGTGCAGGAAGAACCACGAAACAGAGCTGTTTTTATTAAGGATCAATCTAAGTGGATAACCTCTCATCACTCAGTGTGCAATGAAGCGGGGCTCTTTCAGAGCAGAAGTGAAGCTGGGTTTTCTCCACACTCTGGAGGGATTGCTGAAAACAGGAAGTGCCCACTGTTGAATGGAAGGTAAAGCCTTCCCGGGAACCTGGGAGATATGCAAATGAGCAGTGAGGGCGTAAGAGATGCAGCCATGACTAACAAAACTCCAAGTTTTCCTGGCCCCAAAAAAGAAAAGCTTGCATTTTCCTGTCTCTGGTAAGAGAATTTCTCTCTCACTGACTCAAGGATTAACTTAGCACCTGAGAAATCAAATGTATTTGTGACTAACCTGGTTTCATTTCTATTGTCAAAATAACAATATTTACTACCATCAAAGCTGCAGTCTTTGCATGTAGCTACATGCCAAAAAGACCTAGGAAGGGCTAAAAAGTTATATCACCAGGCTGCACTCAGATTGATTGTAAGCAGAGCCCACATATCAGCGTGTGTGTGTGTGCGTGCGTGCGTGTATGTGTGTGCGCGCGTGTGTGTGTGTGTGCGCGCGCGCGTGCGTGTGTAATGCTGGGGTTGTCAGGACCTTGCACTCATTTGCTGGGCAGGCACACTATCACTTGAGCTACATCCCCAACCATTTTCATTTTTATTTATTTTTCAAATAGAACATCCAGCCTTGGACCATAATCCTTTTACCTAGTTTGCCACCTTTCCCAGAAATTGGGTGAGATGGTTTTCATTAACTTTTTGCTTCACTGGCTTTGAACTGTAATCCTCCCAATCTCTATAATTACAAGGGTTATCTTACAAGTTGAAGTACCTGGCTGAAGTATCCACAATGAGCTAACACATAGCCCTGGTTGACAATGTCTGGGGAAGAGGTTTCTGAAAGCAACTGTAATTAATTGTCCAACTACCATGAGTTCTCTGACACTCAAGTTGCCTACAGCCATAGAACAACCTTCCTTTTGCAAGAAAAAGAAACACTTGTGTGATTTATTGACCAAAAAAAGAGAAAAAGAAAAGATGGCTTCTGATACTAAAGATGAAAAAAGAAACACCACCCAGAAGTACTGTAGATAGTATTTGTTAATAGATTCATGAATTGTTTTGGTGGCTTAGGAATGCATTTAAGAAGAGCAAGCTCTATCACTCGCATACAGTAAGCATCAATGGTGTCACCTGAAATGGTATTTCTGATCATTGGGAGTACTTGAATATGTAAGAAGATACTTTTTGGGGGGGCTGGGCTTTTGTCTAGGTATCATGGTTTCCTCCATACATGGCACATGCTGCTAATGGTGGAGACCTCACCATGTGTGCATGCAAGGTGCTGGCTTACTGGACTTCTGCCCACTAAACATGCATGGCTACACTGTTTGGCAGTCAAGTTTTGCCTATTTCTGGGATGCCAGGCTGGTAGAGCTGCAGCCCCTAGGTCACAAATCCAGGGGTTACCCTCTGGATCCCTGTAAGTCTAGCCACCAGCCAGTGACCTGTACCGTGCTCACATGCTGAATTTCTGGTGGTTCACTTTCACAAATAATGGGATATTCCATGTGTAAATGTGCTATTTCTACTTAAATAAAGTTCTTACAATGGATCCAACTTGTATAATGATTTGTTTGGAAAATCTCTCTCCATCTACACAAAGACCAGCTGCAGCTCAGATGAGCCTTAAATCCCCCTAAACACCACACACTCAGTGAGCCTCTGAGCATGCTGGTCCATGTGGAATCTAGTGTTCAAGGTGTAATTTATTATTATTATGTGTGTGTGTGTGTGTGTGTGTGTGTGTGTGTGTGTGTGCTAGCATTGACACTTGAATTCAGAGCTTCAAGCTCTTGCTTGGCTTTTTCTGATCAAGGCTGGCACTCTACCACTCGAACTACAGCTCACCTTCTTGTTTTTGCTGGCAAATTATAGACAAGAATCTCACAGTGTGTTGTTTTTTTTTTCTTCCTTGGCTGGCTTTGAAATGTGATCCTCAGATCTCAACCTCCTGAGAAGCTGGGATTACAGGCGTGAGCCATTGGTGCCTAACCTATGATTTGTTTGGTTAGTCGTCAAAACCTTCATTCTTAGCTTCCTCTTGTTCTTTCCTCACCCTCGCTTTGCATCCCTTTGCTTCATGTCTAACAAAATCAATTATGTGCAATGATGGAGTTACCATGGGAAATATGGAGGATTCTGGGCCAAGGAAAAGAGCCTAAATGTTCAGTTGCTTTGTACCGAAAATGATTCAGTAGCTTTAAAATATGACAGAGGAGCCAGAGCTTGAGGGACAAGCCGAACTGTCTACGGTCGGCAGCCATTGTGGATTTACATTTCACAGCTTGGAAAAGAAGTTTCCAAGTTCACGAGGTCAAAGAGTTACGTTTCAGCTCTGCCAATCAGGATGAGCTACGGCCTGGGCTTTCTTCACACCTTACAAATCTGGACAAGCGTTCACCACCGGCAGACCCAGGAGACCCCATCAGATAAAACATCAGCACACCAGGCGGTTTATCATCTCAAGATGTCGGCTAGCGCTCCACATGGACTTTTTCCTTCCTTCTTTCACCCAACAAGAATGCTCGGAGCAGAGGCCCACAGCCTCAAACCCAGACATCGCCAGCCACTCTGAAGCCCGAAGTCATGACTGCCTACAAAAAGTCTTCAATTCAGACGCGGATGATGAATGAAAGTTCAGGGAAATGCTTTCTTCATCTATCTGGCAGCCGATGACACATTTAGTACTCTTTATTGCCTCTCTGTCCCCAAGAAAACGCAGTGATTTAAGCAGACGAAGTATTTCTGCAGGGGCGAGCTCCCCGGCAGATCGAAGGGACGGGAGGACTGGGTAAGAGGAAACAGATCACAGGCCAAGGGCAAGGAGAAACGCCGGGAAGATGAGGACTCAGAGACGGAGACAAGCTCAGCCTTCAGAGAGGAAAAGAAGAACAGACAGGGAGAACTCAGCCTGAAGAGCAAGAGGACGGGAGAGAGACCACAGTGAGGGGGAGGGAAGTCGGTGAGCTTCAGAGAGGAGGCTGGGCAGCAGGGGGGTGAGGCACCTCCAGGTGGAAATTGGGGTGGCTGATAGATGAAAATGGAAGGAAGCTGGTGTGGTAGGCAGACTCAGAAATGGCTCCCCGTTGGGGCTGGCTGGGAAGGTGGCTCAGTGGTAGAGCGCTTGCCTTGCATGCATGAGACCCTGGGTTCGATTCCTCAGCACCACATAAGCAAAAAGAAAAAAGCGGGAAGTGGCGCTGTGGCTCAAGCGGTAGAGTGCTAGCCTTGAGCTGAAGAGCTGAGGGACAGCGCCCAGGCCCAGAGTTCAGGCCCCACGACTGGACCCAAAAAAAAAAAGGCTCCCCGCAAAGCCTCCCTTCTGGATTTTTTTCACGCTCTTCCATAGTTCTCCTCTCACCCCGAAGTGGCTGGGAGAGGAGCCAATCTGACTCCTGACACATTACAGAAGGACGGAGGCCGGCCTCTGAAGTCTGGTCCTAGAATCAGGTGCTTCTGGGAGGTCCTGGCTCTTCAGGATCACTGGGGGAGGGGGGGGAGGAGTCAGTCAGGATACCTGGGAACATGAGGAACCCAGGTCCCACGCTGACAGACAGCACTCATCTAACAGTAACGGAAGGAATCACCCTGGAAGTGGAGCCTCCCTTCCCATCAGGCCTCCCGGAAACTGCAGCCCAGTAGATCACACAGCCTAAGCCGCCACCACCTAGCTCTCGGCTCCTAGGAGCCTCACCCACAGGAACAGAGTGAAATAACTCGGATGGTTGTGTTAAACTCCTAAACTGTGGCACAGTTTCTTCCTAATAGAGCCGTACAGAGGTTAGTCTTTGGGTTGGAAGATGCATTTGCTGCCCGTCCTGCTTACTCACTGCAACGGGGTCTTACTTCTTTCCCTGGGCTGATGTCAAATCAAGATCCTCCTACTCCCTAACTCCTATGTAGCTGGGATTATAGAGATGAGCTATTTTACCCAGCCCTGGTATCTTTTTCGAAGAGTAAACCAAAGTGGCCCTGAGATTCTATCATCAAGAGAGTAAATGTCATACACACCGCCTTATTTCTATTTTTAATTCTTTCAGTGGGTCTATCAGAATATAATTGTCAAAAATGGGACCAAAGAGGGGAAACTGTGACAGACATCACATTTTTCTTACCTTTCACATCACTTAGCTCAATCCCCCTGAGTAAAACTCAGATGGTAAAAACCCAGGGGCACCCACAGCCGAGTCCCCACACAAAGAGACGTGAGGTTTCCTTGCTCCTGCCAATCCTCTGATGGGTTGGGTAGATATTACCTATCTCTGGGGCCATTAACGCAACTAACTAGGATAAATAGTTCCTGCTTGTGAAATGCAGTCTTTCATTGTCAGACCTACCCTCGGAATTGATCTTAATAAGCTATTTTAAACGAAGGAAAAGGAAAAGGCATAGCACTAATGCATAGCAATTATCTGTAATTCTTAATTGGAAATGTCACTGAACAGACACAATGATCCAAACATGGACAGAGGCTGACCAGAGCATTACAAGGGTACTCAGTATACACAAATGACACGGCTACAAACTGTTGGAAAATAGACACACCCCACATTGCAGAGAACTGTAACGAGATGAAATTTCCACAAGGCAGGACCCCTGAGAAAAGCCAATGGTGACAGACCCATGGCTTTGTGACCCAGCAGATTCCTTTAGCCACTAATAGTTGAGGTAAAATTTGGCAATCTGAAATCAGCCTTCAAGTGAGGGGAGAAGGAATAGACTCTCCAGCTGCTACCTCCAATCCTCCTCCCCCACTCCTCCGCTTCCCTGGTAACTTAGCTGTAATCCTGGCATTTCACAGGTCATGTAAAGTCCATAATCCATATCCAACAAACGGGAGAAAAGCAAATGGAGACGTCCACAGCTGTTCACAATGCCTGCAAGACCTCAGCTGGTAGACAGGTGGGGCAGGTCAGGGAAAGACCACGCCCCTTTAACGGGAAGTTCCTTTGCTCAACAGATGATGCATCTGTTTCTCTTGTGGTAGGAGAAGCAAGCAGGGAGTGTACCAGTGTGCTCTCTGCGAAGGCTGCTTTCTATAGTCATTAAGCTACACCTCGCGCTCTCTGCGAAGGCTGCTTTCTATAGTCATTAAGCTACACCTTGCGTGGAAGAAATACACTTTACCTAATTTTTCAACAACAAGGCAATCTATCATGGGGTTTTAAAGCCCCATGGATCTTCACGCCATAAATATCAGGAAGGGGATGTGTGTCCAGGGTTACTGTGTATTTTCTGGAGACAGCAACTTTGTCCAGTCATGAAGCTGTGGTTTCGGCTATTTCCCTCTGCGAGATTTCCAACAAAGCCCAATTTTATTAGTCATGTTAACATCATGACTCAGAGGAAGATTTTAAAAGAGTTTTGATGGTGTTTTCTCAAGGCTTTTGCCAAGGCCAATCATTCTGACTGTAATTAGTAAGGTTTTTTTTTTTCCTTTCTTTGTCTGCTTACAAAGCAACAACAACAACAACTGTAGACCTCTCTCCTTCTACTGGTGTCCCTCACCCCACCCGTCTCACTTGATATTTTTATTTTTTGGATGTATTAATTGCACTTTACCATGATATTTTGGATGTGCATATAATATACTTTGCTCAGAACAACCCTCACTATTGCTTTTTCTTGCCCTGCCATTCCCAGAATCCTCCACTGGTCAACAGCTTTAACAGAGGCTCCTTATACTGTCTTCATACACAGGTGCATTGTATTTTGAAATCATTCACCCTCCATCTTCCCTTTCTCTTCTTCCCTTCCCTTCCTCTTCCTATGCACTACATGTATGTGTATGTACATGTGTGGATGTATATGTAAATCTATTTATGTAGGTGCATGCACACAAGTACATGTTCATGGTTCATGTGGCTTTTAGGCCTACCTACTCATTGTGAGTTAAAACATACAGCATTTGACTTTTTGAACTTGGCCTCTATTTTATTTAACGTGATGTTCTACCATTCCACCCATTTCCTTTCAAATGACATGATTTTTATCTTCCATGGTATAGACATCCTACCTTCTTTATCCATTCCTCTGTTGTTGGGTACCTTGGTCTATTCTGCCATTTGGCTAGTATGAAAAGTGCAGCGATAAACATGAGTTTGTTTTCTTCTATGTTGATTTGTACCCCTTTAGATAGGTGCCCAATTGATGAGTTCATAGGTAGTTCCATTTTTAAAAATCGGTCTATTTCAAAGAATTTCCATACTGAATTCCATAGTGGCTTCATTGGTTTACGTTCTTCCTCAACAGTGTGTAAAAGTTCCTTTTTTCCTACACTCTCACCAGCAATTGTCGTCGACTGATTTCTCAGTGCTTCAAAAAGATACATCTTAGTGTAGTTGTGACTTGTATTTCCATTTTCTTTATGGCTAAGGACCTGGAACATTCCTTCTTGTATCTATTAGTATTGGTAAATTTTTAAACTGTACTCATGCCTCCTCCTGCTCCCCCACCAGACAAATAAAACTGTTAAGTTTTAGAATTTGAAATAACAGTCACACAAATACAACACATGCCCTAATTCATACCTTTGACCCTCTGAAACTTCCTGGGCTGGTTGGAGAAGAGCTGGAGGATTTCGTGGACTTAGGTGTAGAGAGTTGGCTGCTGGGAGTTCCATTAACTAGCCAGGAGACAAGAGAGACAGATCATCAACCCAATGACCAGACTCGGTAAAAAAAAAAAACACACAAAGCACATGCATGAGACAGCTCCAAGGGAATTTACGTTCATTGAAAGCTCTAAGCAGATGGCAAATCAGCAGAAAAGCAGAGATGATATATCTTACTGAGTTACAGACAAAAAACAAAAGTCAGACAGGGAGTGAAATTAACATTATTCTCAGTAATCATTGGCAAACAATGGCATAAGCAAATATATACAACAGTATGGAATTAGAGGTGAGAACTTGTTCATACTATCTGCCTGCCAGAAAATATACAGAAATGACTGGCTGTTATACCTGCTTTGTGATGAAAGTTGTTCTATAACCTCCAGCATCTTCCAATACCGCTATCTTGGAGTGTATACATACCAACTTGACTCACCAAAATACTCATTTTTTTGTCGTTTTTTGTGTTTTTTGTTTGGCTGGTCCTAAGGTCTGAACTCAGGGCCTGGGCGCTGTCCTGGAGCTTTTATTTTGCTCAGGGCTAATGCTCTACCACTTTGAGCCACAGTGCCACTCCTGGTTTTCAGGTGGTTAACTGGAGATAAGAGGTTCACAGACTTTCTTCCCTGGGCTGGCTTTGAACCATGATCCTCAGATCTCAGCCTCCTGAGTAGCTAGGATTACAGGTGTGAGCCATCAGTGCCCACCTGACCAAAATGTTCTATGACTCTCCCAAGTTAACTCTGTCATCATCCAAATACATTTCTTTTGTTTGTTTGCATATTCTTTTTTGTTTGGTTTTGGTGGGGAGTACTGAATCTAGAACTTATTCATACCAGTCTCTCCTTCTATTCTATTTTCTTCACATCTTAATTAATCAAAATTAATTAATCAAAATTTCCTAGCTATTTATATACCTTCTCCAAACTTCCATAAGTTTTTTCAGCTGAAAGTTCAAATTCAATTCTTCATAAGGAAGAACATGGCCCTAGCGTTCAGAAGGTATGGTTAATAACTAGCATCCTCTGTTGGACAGAATCCCAGTCACATATTTCTGTTATAGCAGGATTCATGCTCATTTCCAATTGTATCACCTATACCTATTTCTGTAGCGATTTTGGAACTGAAAGGTAGTTTATGATCAGTATATTATTTCTAATGAATATTTGTAACATCCCTAATTATTAATCTTCTAAGTTTTATTCTCAAAGTAGATGAAAACTGCCATTCACTTTTATGAAAAGATGTTTTTTAAACACAAGGGAGCATATGCCTACTGCTTCAGATAATGCTGCTAAGAATAGAAAACAAAATGCAGAGGGAAAGGCCATGAATAGGTGACTTGAAATGTGAATACCAATTCTTGATGGAAGGAAGAAGCTAAAGAAATATTTATAACTCAATAAGTTGCTTTCAAACAGGGATATCCATGTTTATGAATTCTTGTCTATTTACTGCTCATTGAACAATTTGGTAAACCTGACTTTTTCAGTTATTTCTTTTTTTTTTTTAATTTTTTATTGTGAAAATACCATACAGAGGGGTTACAATTACATGGGCAAGGTAATGAGTACATTTTTTATCAAGCATTGTTGCCTCCTCCTTTGTTTCCTCTTCCCATCCCTTCCCATCTCCTCCTCCCTCAGTTATTTCTTAAAGTCAAAAAAAACTTTAATTTTTCTAACTCTAAACCTCTCACATTATTTAGATTTTTTTCTCTAACAAATATATGGGGTACTTAGAAGAATAGTGCAGCAAAAAAAAAAAATCACACCATTCATGAGAAACAGAGGGAGGTTATTTTTGTTATTTCTTAAGTTAATTTCAATGAGTTCTGTTTTTAATTAAAAGATGGAGCACAAAAGATTTTTAAGGATGAAACTATGCTGTATGGTACTATAATGGCAGACATACATTATCATTAATTTTCCAGAATCACATACAACATGAAGAAGAGCCTAGTGCAATCTACATGTGTGGGGTGACTACACCTAAAGCTGCTCTAAAAGCAGTCTCTTAAAAACAATCTCCTTCAAAGGGATTCCCATGAAAGAAATATTATCATGGGCAATAAACTACTAAGCTTGCTGAGACAGAATTTCACTTTTTTTTGTTTTGTTTTGTTTTTTTTTTTTGGTCAGTTGTGGGGCTTGAACTCTGGGCCTGGGTTCTGTCCCTGAACTCTTCAGCTCAAGGCGAGCACTCTACCACTTGAGCCACTGTGACACTTTTGGTTTTCTGGTAGTTTATTGGAGATAAGAGTCTCATGGACTTTCCTGCCTGGGCTGGCTTTGAACCGTGATCCTCACATCTCAGCCTCCTGAGTAGCTAGGATGACAGGCGTGAGCCACTGGCACATGGCTTCACTTTTTGTTTTTTAAACCGCACCTCACAGGATCATCTGCAGTCACTGGGTCCCAGTCTATCAGCACTGTGGGCTTTCCCTGGTATTGACATAACCCCATTGAGAGCAGAGGCTTTCCTGGACTGGCGCTGGAATGGGGACAGTGATCTTCACATGGCTGTTCCTGACACACACTGTTCTTCCTACAAACCCACCGACTCCGCATGGTTGCTTAACAAACCTCACTGCCCGCAGCACATCTCCTGCCAGTCCCCAAATCCCTCTCGTCTTGAGGAGGGACCAGTCATGGGGTGCCTTCTCTGTCTCCAATAGCATTTGGAAGCCCCTGAAAATTGTTCTCGAATAAGAAACCCTAATTCCACTTACTTAGTGGAACTGGCTGGGGGGAGGCTGAGCGGGACTCTGGGCAGTGTTGGGTGACACCCTTCACCGCGGGCCTCAGCAAGGCGGGCACTGATCACCCAGCATCTCCTCCCACTCTCCTACCCGTTTCCTCCACTGCGCCCTGGCTTCCCTCCTGGCTTCTCTTACCTCAAAGGTAAGAAATGAAACTTCCGGGGAGGGCCTGTTTTCTCTGAATACTTGAAATTTCTATCGATTTCTAGTCCTTTCTCTCCACCTTACCTCATTCCCGCCCTCCCCAGCGCCCCACTCCCACCCCAGGTTTTTAAGATAAGGACTTGTTATGTCTCCCAGTTGGCCTTGAACTCCGTGGTTCAATAGCTCTTCCTGACTCAGCAGGGATTATAGGCCTGCAACACTATTCCCAGACTCCTTGTAACTTATAAATAGTTATAAATATACCACAGATAATGCAGACTGTAAGAGCAAGTCATGTTCGTGGTAGTGACATCTAACAACCAATCTGCTCCTTCTTGGTGGGCAGGGGATGGGGAGGAGAACAGTACAAAAATAGAATAACATTCTCTAGAATCACAATGAAGTCTCAGCTGTTGATGGAAGAACTGAGCATGCTTTGAACTGCCTCTTATAACAGCCATTTGCTTTCTGAGATGTGATTTCAAAATATCACAACTTTTACTTCTGAATTTCAGGCCTACTCCATCTACAGGGATCCTGTTGAACATTTCACACATTGGAATGCTATGGTGTTCCTGAACCAGTCTTTACACACCCCAAATTCAACTTAAAAGGAATTACTTATAGATTTCTTAAGCTCTGTCTTGAAGTGTTGGCTTGAAGGGCAAATATGCAAGGAAAACATTTTTAGTACAGCATGATAACTGTCCTCTTGAACCTCAGGAGGAAAATGATGGATCAATCAGACCTGATTCTTGAATCTCCCTCCTTTTATTTATTTTACTGATGTTAAAAAACCTGTAGAACTATCACTTAAAACAAAAGCTAGGAATATGACCAAAACTAAACCTGCCATAGAATACTTCTGGCCATTGTATTCACTCAATTTTTTTCTTACATTAGTTTTCCCAGATTTAAGATAATTTACAGAGAGACTAATACAATTTAAAGCCAGGTTGATGGCAGAGGTTTATCTTTAGTTAAAAGCACAGTGCCAACTGTCAAAACTTTAGAGGGCCTGAACATGGAGCCTCAATCTTTATGAAAACAGTCGTGTGAAAACTAAAAGGAGAACAGAGAACAGTGCTGTCTTCTTGTGTGTACAGGAAACACTTCACACTCTTTCTCTGGTCTAGATCATCATAAAAGATTGTGTTTTGTTTTGTGGTTTTGGTGTTTTTTTTCTTTTTGTCAGTTGTGGGGCTTGAACTCAGGTCGTTGTCCCTGAGCTTTTTATGGCTTGGGGCTAATGCTCTACCACTCTGAGCCATAGCACCACTTCTGTTTTTCTGGTGGTTAATTGGAGATAAGAGTCTCACGAGCTGGAACTGAATGCTGATCCTCAGACCTCAACCACCAGAGTAACTAGGATTACAGGCATGAGCCATCAGTGCCCGGCCATAAAAGTATTTTGGATTCTAAGTCCTAAACATCCCATGGTCAGGGTAGAGAATAAGGGTAGAAAAGTACTATTACTTCCATGACCATCTTTGTATTGCTAATATGCTTTATTCTCTTTCAGTAATAGTAAAATTTCCAAAATGTCAACGAGTACCCAGATCTCCCCTTGGGTGATGGTGCGTCCTGGGTCGCTGGGTATCCTGAGCACAGACACAGGCACGTGGCAGGCTCCCCGTGACAACTGGTTCTATTGGACACAAGAGGCTGCCGCACCTGCCCATCACGAAGCATTCCATACTGCACACATGTCTGCTGGATAAGCCAGAAACACTCATGGAAATGGAGCCACAGGAAACAGAAATGCAGCGAGAGACAAGAACAGAAACCCAGCAGTGCAACCAAGCCATAAGGATGCTGGCTCACCTGGGGATTTGGCTGTAGAATAGGCACTGGAGTGGCCAGCCCTCTTTACTGTACACACGCAAATGCACAGAGCAAGAGAGACAGTAAGGAGAGTGGTTATTCAGCAGGTTGAAATGCGCACACAAAGAGAAGGGTAAACATCCTGTCCTGGACAGGGGGGCGGGGGGCCGCCAAAGGGACATCAGCGCAGGTGCTGTGTCCACAGAAGTCTGTGTAGAGTCTGATGTCTGCACTGGTGCTGCTTTGCATGAGCCAGACTCTCCGCCTGGGTTTTCACAACTCTCCTCATTACTATAAATAGTCACGGAGCACCAATACACTGAGATACTCATTGATACTTTAATGATAAAAAATGTCAAAGCTTCTAAATGATGACAAAGCAATAAGCTTCAGACCTGAAAGGCAATAAATGGTGAGTCTGACTCTTAAGGCCGACTAGTTTAGAGCAATAAGCATTGCTGCTATATTATTCTTGATGAAGAAATGGCCAGAGGAAGCCTTCAAGCGCACGTGTGTGTGTGTGTGTGTGTGTGTGTGTGTGTGTGTGTGTTTCACATCAATAAGAGATAATGCTAAGAAAATGAATATTCACAATCACTTAGCACGAAATTCAAAAGGCAGTATGACAGTGGTCAAAACGTGAACCAGTTCTAGGTGAAAACCAGGAGGACATTAGTAAAGAAGCAATCCTCGAAAAACATGCGTCAGCACAAAACTCTAAGAGTCTCACAAAAGACTTAACACCTTTGGAAAACAAAGCTAACATTTGCTTTTTGTTGGTCTTTTTTTTCAGTTCAATAAGTACTATTTTATACGATCAGAGGCACATTGGCCTTGCGCCTTTCTGCTCCTCCCCGAAGCGTCTCCTCCTTTGGTCTCACTAGGTGTGAGTGGCTAGAAACATTTGGTTTCAAAAATTGTACCACGTAGACCCTGCAAGCACCGGAGCCTGCTCATGCTGCCTAAAACTACTTCCTACATTTAAAGAAACGGAGGCAGGACCCGCCCCTTGTATGAGCGTCTGTTTTTTTGTGTGTTTTTCTGTGTGTGTTAACTACCTGAAGCCGGAGACTTGCTGCGGCGAGAGGGCCCAGGACTTTTGGATCCAGAATATTTAACAGCTGAGGATCGAGAATAAGAGGACTTCAGGACACGGCACTCTGCAAAGGAAAAAAAGTGTGGCAGTAAATAAAGCAGGTTTGAACACTGACCAAAGGCATGCAACTCATTGTATATAACTGTTTATTGCCTACAGGTTTGCTATTGTCAGCTCTTTTTTTTTTTTTTGGCCCAGGAAACAAAAGCAAAAAGGGCATGAGGCGTGGCTCAAGGAGTAGAGCACTTGCCTGAGTTTGAACCCCAGGGCTGCCAAACAAAATAATAGAATTCTGACATGAATGTGAAAGTTAGGAGCGATGTAAACCATACTTGACAGGTAAATGTATATGTCAGTCAGCCTTAACCTCATAAGAATAAGAAAAAGCATATTCACATAGACAGCCTAAAAGGACGCTGCACAGGGCCACTTCAGAGGAACTGATCTTAGTCTCTGCATTTGTTTCTTAGTTTTCTGAAACAGAGTCTCACCATGGAACCCAAACTGGCTTCCAATTCTGTACCTCAGCTTCCAAGTAGCTGAGGCTACAGGTATGGATCAATGTTCTTGGCTCATCTTTCTCCAATCTATCAGAACTCTTAACATGTCCCAACTTACTAAAGCCCGAGCCCAAGCCAGACACCAGTGGCTCTTGTCTGTAATCCTAGCCACTCAGGAGGCTGAGATCTGAGGATTGCAATTTGAAGTCAGCCCAGGCAGAAAGGTCCATGGGACTCTTACTTCCCATTAACTACTATAAAACCAGAAGTAGATGGACTTGTGGCCCAAGAGGTAGAGCCTGAGAGAAAAAGCTAAAGGACAACACTGAAGCCCTGAGTGCAAGTTCCAATACTAGCACGCATGCACACATGCACACATGCACACATGCACGCAGAGAGAAATTCATCCAGGCCTTTATTTCCAGGGTCACAAAGATGGTCAATGAATGGCCTTACCACTGTGGTCCAGGACAAAGTCATCTTGGGCGTAACGGAATTTCTCAGGTCCACAAGCAATGAAAACGTCATCATCACCAAAGAAATCTTGCAAACAAGTAACCTAACATGAAGAAAAAGGTAAATCACATGCAAGAAATTAGAGACATTAGAAATGAAACAAGATACTCGGCAAAATCAAATACATTGTCAAGTCTCCCCTATGATACAGGTACACCACACCCCCTTCCCAAGCACAAGCACTCTACACCTTCACAAAGCGCACACACACACACGCACGCACGCACGCACGCACGCACGCACACACGCACGCACGCGGTAGACCACACCCCCTTCCCATTGCTCTGCAGATTGGCAGATGAAAACTGCCCACGGCCAAATATCAACATGTCCAAGGTGCTAACCATCACCATCGCCATTGGGGCAGTCCTGGGAAAGGATGGCCAAGACACTAGGGGAAGGCTTCAGCCTCCTCTGTGACTGTGCACCTACACGTTCAGTGTGCATTCCATTCTCTGTTTGCCAAAAGCTCTCTCCATTCTGCATCAGCATCAGAACAGAACCAAACCCGAACCAGGAAGCTGGTCCACACACTACCCCCCAGCCCCCCCCCCCTGCTGTGAGCATTCTGCATCTTCCAGACTTGGCACCCAGGCAGGTTTCACCTGCACCTGTTGTCAGGGGTTGGATAAGAATTCTTCTGGGAAAAATGACTCCTCCGTTACCAGCAGTAAAGTTGTTTTGTTTTGCTTTAACCTGCCCTTATACCAATCAATGCCAGCACTTCCTTATCTCTTTCTCGGCCCTACTTAGCATCTTTTTGGGAAAAAAGAAATCCGAGTCTTGCGACTGCATTAGAAGACAATGTGCTCGCGAGAAGGTGGCATCTAGACACAGCACAGGGGACTCAGGTCACCGATGGAGTTTTTGGCAACACCAAAAGCTGACGGCATAGTTAGGAAGGGGAATGGACGTCAACGTTCATTTCTTCAAATGCTCATCAAGCAAGACGTGACTTCTGTACCAAGCCTGGAGCTCAGCTCAGTCCCGGTGTAGGAAGTTTTCCAGCAGAGTCCTCTGTGCCTCCACTCTGTGGAACTCACTTCTCTGCTCTCAAGAGAAGATGGCAGTGAGTGCGGGAGTCATGCTGTCTCCTTTCTCCCCCACCCCTCATGGCTGGTTCCTCTGAGCCTCATGTCCCCATCTGTACTGGCACACACCTTCTCTCTTGGCTGGCTCAGGTCCTCCCTCTCATCCCCAGCCTCCCACTCCACCCTCGCCCCCAATGCCCAAGCCCCACCCCCCACCATACCACACACCAGCCACCAGCCACAGTGGCTTGAATAAGAGCAAAGTCGTGGCAAGCCAGAACCTAGTGGCTCATGCCTGTAATCCAGGCTGTTCGTGAGGCTGAGATCTTAAGATTTTAATTTGAAAGCCAGCCTGGGCAGACAAATCCAAGAGACTGTCCACTAACCAGCAAAAAGCTGGAAGTGGAGGTATGGCTCAAGTAGTAGAACATCAGCCTTGAGCAAAAAAGCCAATGGAGAGCATGAAACCCTGAGTAAACCTAAGTATTGAACTGTACTCCCCCCTCCCCCACACACACTTATAACAGAAGACAGTGGCACGGCAGATCTCCACCCAGCCCTTCCTCCTCTGCAATGCTATTTCTTCCATTCACACCTCCACCATGTCAAGACTACGCTGGGCTCCTACCTGCGTAGGAGATGGTGGGTTTATTAAACTTTTATTGAGACATGACTCATCGACCATACGATGCAAAAATTCAACCTTTTTTAGTATGTTCAGAGTTGTGCAACCATGACCTCAATCCAGTTTCTGATGTTTTCCTTGCTCAAGAAAGGAGCTCTATGTCCACTAGTGGTCACTGCCCATGGCCCCTCTCCTCATCACAATCTGCTTTCTGTCTGTAGAGCTGCCCAGTCTAGACACTGCACATACACTAAATCACAGAGCATGTGGCTTCTTTCATTTTTGCATGCCTTTAAGGTTCACTGTGGTTGTAGTGAATGTCCTTTACTCCTTTCTGTGGCTGAGTAATATTCCGTGGAATGGATTTACCACATTTCTTTTCTAAGATGGAAAGGTGAGTAGATCCCACTTCAGTCCTGGCTTTTGCCACCATGCATCTGTCTCTCACCTGGAATCCCACAGTTCATCTTTTAGTTACAGTTCTTATGCACTTTACTTAGTTTTACTGTCATATTTGAAGCCGATCTTACATTTTGAACTATCTTATTTTTATCTACATGTATTCAATAAATGGTTTGAACTCAGAGATTCACTTCCTTGTTAAGTCAAACAGTGGTTTACTAGTTTAATGGAACCTTTTTAGGAAAGAAAAATATTTGTTTTTGCAATCGTGGAAAAAACACAGTTGAAATGTCTACGCTATACCTGAATGAATAACTCTTTGGAAAAACAACCTTTGATTATATTCCAAAGAATATTTCAAGTCAGATATGGTAGTTCACACTTGTAACCCCAGTGACATGCAATGAGGGACCAGAGGAACCACAGTTCAAGGCAGTCCATGCAAAAACATATCAAGTCATCATGTCACTCAGTGAGCCAGGAATGGTGGAGCACTGTTTCAATCCCAGCTGTGCAGAGGCTGTAGTAGGTGGATCATAGTCTCAGGTAAGCCCTGGGCAGAAAGATCAGAAGGCCCTACCTGAGAAAAACAACTAAAACGAATATAGAGATGGCTCAAGTAGTAGAGAATCTGCTTAACAAGTGTTGAGGCCCTAAGGCCAAACCCTAGTACTACAAAAAATGAACAGATAAAGATGTCTGCCTTGCTCTGACTAAATCAGTTTCTCATCACTGAATGCATATTTGGTTACTTAAATAACCAAATCAGACTTTCAGTTAGGTTCAGCTGTTCCTGAATTCGACATCTCTTTTTCTTTTTTTTTTTTCGGGTCCAGTCATGGGGCCTGATCTCTGGGCCTGGGCGCTGTCCCTCAGCTCTTCAGCTCAAGGCTAGCACTCTACCACTTGAGCCACAGCGCCACTTCTGGCTTTTTTCTTTTTGCTGAGGAATCGAACCCAGGGTCTCATGCATGCAAGGCAAGTGCTCTACCACTGAGCCACCTTCCCAGCCCCTCTTTTTCTTCTTTTCTTGGTCAGTTGTGGGCTTTGAACTCGGGGCCTGGGCTCTGTCCCTCAGCTCTTCAGCTCAAGGCTAGCCCTCTACCACTTGAGCAACAGTGCCACTTCTGGGTTTTTCAGCTTATGTGGTGCTGAGGATTCAAACCCAGGGCCTCATGCATTCAAGGCAAGCGCTCTACCACTGAGCTACCTTTCCAGCCCTGAATTCAACATTTCTTAAGAAATATTACCAAGTGGCCAGGAGGCAGTGGCTTGGGCCCGTTCCCATCCATTGTTCATGTTGGGATTTTTGTGTTTTTCTTTTCTAAACTTGGGGACAGAGGTTCCCTGATGGCTTTCTGTTTTCTCTACGAAGTAGGAAGCAGTCGTTGGCCGAGGGAGGGGTTGGGGTGGGGCAGGTTTGAGAGAGAAAAGTATGGGGTACAATCTGGCTGGGTCCAGAGGGGACTGACGGGGAGGGGGTGGAGTGCACCACCAAACAGCACTGAAGGACACTGGAGGCCATCAGAACTTGTGCACAGAAGTCTGCACTTCTCACACTAGAAAGAAGTTGGCCAATCATAGGAAGTTTTAGGAAAAAAAAATCAAACCCTTTTACCTCAGAATTGTTAGCATTTCAAAGGGTTGCATCTAATCAGGCAATGGAAGAGAACTGATACAATGCAGAAGACATTTAAAAAAAAAATCAAAGCTGTTGTGGGCTGCATTGAGCAGCCATGAGAACAAGACATCTCTTTGTATTTCTTCTGGCTTGACACAGGAGACCTCAGACCCAGCTGAGAGGTGGGGTAGGGCTGGACAGGCTTAGCTGGGGGGAGGAGGGATGGGAGGAGTCCTGAGCTGGGAGGGGCCTGAAACCTGTGTGGCCCAGGACAGGTGGTATAGGAAAACCAGCAGTGGTACCTTGGCTACTGATCTTCATGTATATAATTATAAATGAATTCTATAATTCATTTATAACTACTTGTGCTTATTGATTGATGGGCATGTTCTAGCTCCCACAAATGAGGAAATTGAGAAAAATAAGGAAAGGGGCGGATGGAAGCGGTGGTGAAAATGTGGAAGAGGTAACACTGACCAAGATGCACTGTATATGTAAATGACTTGGTGGAGTAGCAGAAGAATTCACTACATAACCCAAAAATTAGAAAGAGTGAGGAAAGGGGCAGGCTCGGTGGGCTGGGTGAGATGTGGCAGGGGTGATGTTGATCAAGAGGCATTGCATTCATAAACTGTTTTGTTGAATGGCAACCCCTTGTATAACTAAAGATAATAAAAATATTTATAACCGAGAGAAAATGAAACCCAAACATACGGACAGGAGCCCATAATAACCAGGAATGGCTGGGAATTAACTTTCTCTCTACCATTACTAGTGTCAAATACAAGTCTCTGTGGTTTTTCCACAAAGTAGACAGAGTAATAATCATCCATAGCACTCCCCGGGGTGACTGAACTGTAAATCTAAACACACTAGAAACAGAAGAGAGATGGAAGGTGATGATTCAAAGCGAATGGAACTCAATATCCGGAGAGAGAACACGCTGACCTCAGTGGTTTCCACTTTCATCACACAGAACTTGTGTGTGTTATTACCCGCACACAGTGTCCGGCCCAGGCCGCCTTCACTGGGCCCAGGCCGCATTCACTGGGCCCAGGCTTTTTCTGGAAGGAAGCCAAGCACCCCACTGCTGAGTCTTCCCCCCCTCTCTCTCACTCTGCCCCCAGTCCCAGAATCCTGGGCCCCGACAGTTGAGGCTCAGTTTCTCACACTTAATCCTTGGAGATCAAATGGAATTGACCCATCTGCAAAATGGACAGGAAACAAAATCCCATGCAATCCCTGAGGATTAAGGGTGATTGCGTGAGAAAGCTTTTGGAACTTGTTATTTCAGCTTTATTAACTCATGACCTCAAATACTTAATTTTTTTTTTTTACCTTACTGGATAATTCTTTTCCAGCAG